TTTAATTGGAACAGATACAGGGTGATCAGAATTCTGAATCTTGAAGCACCCTGTACTTTTACCAATTAAATTCCAGTAGATAGTGAATCAAAAGTTGAGATTGGGACATGTAAGCCGTTTTGATCGATAATGAATAGTTTCGACACATAAAAATCCTAAAATTCAAAAATCTCGATTTTGAACACCCTATATCTCTGTAATCATTCCTGCTAGACCCCAAGTGTGATACATTGATGAAATCAGCTCTTAAGGAAGAATATAATAAAAATACAATAAAATACAGGATGTTCCGTTTGAAATAACAAAGTTGCTAGTTGTTTCTAATAGAATTGGCAACACTGTATCGATGAAAATATTTTAGACGGATAGAGAATATTCAATTATCAAAGTATCCCAATTTTCAGAATGATCTGTCTTTTCGTTCTCCAGATACTTTTAATAGGCCATCCACCGTGGATCACCCAGTATATCATTTCGTTATCAGATGACGGTCGAAAATTGCAGCCGGCTCTTGGTACAATGGTTGGCAGTTTTTTCTCGTTCTGTCCCTTCATTTTGATCCTCATTTATTTTGTAGGTAAACATTTAGCTTTAGGCGTGGGGAGGGGTAATTTTGATGTCGAAAATCAACGATTTTTTTTCATCGATATTTTTCAACTTTTGGACTCATTTAATAATCTTTTACTTGAAGAAGCGGGTACATTTTTGTACAAAATGATGATAACGAATTTTTGATATCACTTTTTCACAAATCATCTAATGGAAGAAAATAGTGTAAAAAAAATATTTGTTTTTTCTACATTCATGCAAAAAGCAGAACTTTATTGAACTATATTTGGTGGAAAAAGAAGTTCTTTATTGCACTTAGTGCAATAAAGTTTTTATTGCACTCATCTGTCATTCTACTTCAACGTGCTGTCATCATGACAAACATTTTTTATATTGCAACTGTGGTTATAGAAACGTCAGTCAAAAATTAAGTTGCGTTTTTCATTTTCCTACACCTAGTGCCGCACCTCAATAAATCATTTTTTGCTTTTTGCATGAACGTAGAAAAAATGTTGTATGCAACTCGTGCAATAAACATTCACTTTTTGCACTTGTTGCATAAATAACTATTATGCTTTCGGAAGAAAACAAGCAATGACGTCATTACTTCAGTTTCCAAATATGGAAAAATATGCAAATTCTGCTCAAAAGAGCACACAATCTCATAAGCCTTTCTTTCAAATTTTCACTATGTTATTCTTTTCTTATGAAGGATCTGAGACATCGAACTTTTCATTTTCAAATCACATGATCTACAGTGGCAACCGTTTTTTCAATAGTATTCAAAGAAAATATATATACAGGGTGGTCCGGTTTGTCATACAAAGAATGCAACAGTGTGTTGTACTCGTTGAAATAATAAAAAAAAAACATATGAACATATATTTTTAAACGCGTCGTTTTCGAAATAAAGGATGTTGAAAATACGAGTCTGGGTTTGGGATAAATCAACAAAATGTCTGAAATGATACTGAACTTTTTACGCTCTATAAGATAAAACAGTGATCATAGCACTCTTGTTTTTATTACAATCAAATATTATTATTGAACAAAAAATTTTTCGATATTTTATTCAACTCGAAAACGGTGAAACGCATTAGAAATTCACAAGTGAGCTTTTTCACACAGAGGCCTATGCATTTTCAGGTTTTGATCTACAAATTGAGAAAGAAATGCACACATAAAAATTGGGGTGATTTTTTCTTCACCACCCCCAGATTCAGCCGCCACTGAATTATTTCGTGAAATAATTTTCATTCCATCTTATAAAGCGTGAAAAGTTTAGTATCTATGAGAAATGTTGTTGATTTATCTCAATCCGTTTCGAACTTTTCAACAAAAATCAACAATCAGACTCCAATTTTCAACACCCTATATCTCGAAAACGACGCGTTCAAAAGTATATGTTTACATAAACTTTTTTCATTATTTCAACGAGTACAACGCACTGTTGAATTTTTTGTATTACAAACCGGACCCTGTATATAAAACCCTACAACTCTTTTGCTCAACTTTTTCAATAGCTCTTTCGACAAAATAGTTAAAAGCATGTTCAAAACTTGAAAACAAATAATTATAGGAAAATATGACTCCCGCTTGTTGTACCCTGTGTATCAATCAAAATCAATCGAACATTTCGAAAATGCTCTCGAAAATGCTCTCAACTGTATGGCATAATGATCAAAATTGATGGAAAACTCAAAATGTTAATTGAGAATTCAATGTTCTTCTAGTATAAGACATTGAATGAATTCATTTCCTTCTGATAGTTGTATAAAATACTGATCAAATCTTGGAAAATACCTGCGTGCGCCTTGAACAAAATCATAAAATATCCATAGTAACATATATTTTTATAATAGCATTATTGAAATTTTTATACATACTCAGAGACAGGACTATATTATGAATACATCACATATTTTTGGGTAGTAATTTCGCGGAAGTGCATCTAGTGTGTTAGGTGGGTACTAGAGGTCACAAACTGGGGCCCTGGCTGCGGTGAATTTTGGATATTCGTTTGAGATACAGGCCCAGACGGAGGAAAATTCTGGTGTACCATACCGGGTGGCCCGAAATTTGGCAATCTGAAAATTCGTGCAATGTTAAAATAACCTCGCTCAATGAGCCTTTCCAGTCAGCTCTATAAAAATATATCTGGAATACCCTGTGTGAACGGATTTTTCTGAAATTTGGTACAGTAATATAAGCTGCTATTTAGAATTTGATCACATTACAATTCAACTTCCGGTTTTTATGGAAATGTCAGAAACATTGTTTTTTCAAAATGAATAGTCACTGGATGGTATTAGATAGGGTCCCTTGATGTAAATTGACGTATTTGTCATCTTAAAAGGGTACGGACAGATCCTCGTCTCCTCGCACTCTAAAGTGTTTGTCAAACAGTTATATAGTTCCATCTTTATTCATTTCTGGGGATAAACACTACATTTCTGACATTTGTTGTTTTCTAGGTTATATTGAGGACATTGGCGTATCATACGTAATTTACACACGTTATTTCTCATTCAACTTTACATATTATATCCAAATAATGATGATAATTTTCGAGTTTTTGATTTTTCAACTCCAGCATAATCTTTGTAAGGCAGTGAGCACATTTTTCTGAAAGTTTAATACGTTTTACAAAATGGACTGTTCTTAGGCAGTGCCTATCAATAATTCAATTTTTATTTCAGACTAAGCTTTATGGTTGAGAAATGGTGGAAATTGTATGTAGGTATTCGAACTAATGTGCTCATATGTCATGTGTGCTGTATATATTCATGTTGGGAACCATTTTTGCAGTTTTTCAATAATTCCTCAATGTAGGCATAATTTAAATGGTAGTGCATATGCCTCTTCTTTTAATCCTCCGATTTAATCAGAACTGTTTCTACTAAAATGCATCAAAAACGTGTGGTGTGGATAACTATGGGCACAATGAGAAAGTATAATATGTGATTTCGTATTAGTTTTACCTCGAATATTTTGCTGATGTATTCACCAATTTTCCCCATTCGGTCACTTATTGCATGAAATTTTTTTTGTCGCACTCTTATAGTAGCCAAATGTATAGGAACCTTTAGTAGAAAAATTAGACTTAGCTGTACAAGACATAGTCTTTTTTGTGAATGCTGATTTTCTACCAGAGATGCTTCTTCACTACGGTATATCTATAGAAAAGTGTTATAGTTAGATTGTTTGATGTTTAATGTTTACTCAAACCTCCCCACGCACAGCACTACTTGCTTTGTGGGTGTATCTAGTTTATTTACTTATCCTGTTGTTGTAAATACCATGTTATTTGAATCACTTGGGGTAAATAAATATTATTATTATTATTATTATTATTATTATTATTATTATTATTATTATTATTATTATTATTATTATTATTATTATTATTATTATTATTATTATTATTATTATTATTATTATTATTATTATTATTATTATTATTATTATTATTATTATTATTATTATTATTATTATTATTATTATTATTATTATTATTATTATTATTATTATTATTATTATTATTATTATTATTGTAATATAGAAAATAGAATAGGACAGAAGTTCAGTTGTGTCCGAACTCTATCTATTATCTAAATAATACTATCCAGTGTATATTCAATATTCAAATTATTCAACACATTTCAAAAAAATGCAATATTTAGGTCAATGTAATTTTTTCGAAAACAAATTGAATTATTCAAACTGCAAGGACATTCCTGCACGGAAATTCAAAAATGATGTTATTTTTTTTTCTTAATGTTTGTTCCAAAGGGACATGTAGGTGGCTCACAGCAAATTCATTTAGAAAATAATAATTTTTGATCAAAATGTGATGTGACTTAATTGATTCTTCAATAAGTGACATCAAAAATAATTTTTCACAAAAAAATATGTTCCTCAGTTATGTGCGACTCATTGTGAATAACCTTGACCACATCTCATTTATCAACCACGTAATAGTATATTACACACCGAGGTGGGAAGTGATTCATTCCTGTCGTTAGATTAGTTAGTTAACTGAGACGCAAAGCGTCGAGGTTAGCTATAAGATCGAGACAGGAATGAAACTTCCTACCGAGGTTTGTATACTGTTCTATTTACAACCATCATATTTCGATCAAAATTAATAAATCCATGTTTCGTTCTGAACATACCTGAATTACGTTAGTAATGACATTACATATTATATGGTTGTAAATAAAATTAAAAAAGGATTTTAATCTGAATATTGTCGAAAATAGTTATTTTTGTATCTAGAGCGCGAAATGCTACTTTGGTGATCGAGATCTGATTTTTTTAACTAGGCGTAGCCCAGTTGAAAAAATAGTCGAGATGACCAAAGTATTTCGCGCTCGAGTTGCAAACAAAATTTTTTCTACAAACGTCAAAAAATATAATTCTGAAGAAAAAATATGCTCAACTTGATATAAAAAATTGTGTTGAACTGGCTTGAAAGGTCTCCCCCTATCCTCCCTAGGTACGCACGATGTTCCACGAACATTATAGGAATTTCCTTCCATGCGCTCCAAGAGAAAAAACAAAGTTAATGTTGAACATTCAGAAATAAATGATTTTGTGGATGTCTGCTCGATTGAGGACCATAAAGTTGAAATATAAATATCTCATTTATTTTCCATAACAATGCGCGAAGTAGGTACTTCGCGCACTGTTTTACTTCGCGCATTGTTTTGTGCAAGGAATAATGGTAACATAGGAAACTGAAAAGAAGTGTCACTTCGCAATTTGTTATCAATGCGGGAACCTTGTCATTTTTTGACGTTTGTAGAAAAAATTAAATTTGACATATTGCACTTGTTTTGACATGTTGAACGTGAATATGTAAAAATATACAGGGGGTTACATTTGAAAAAAACAAACTTGTTCGCATTTCCAGAAAAACCGGAAGTCGGCCATATCAGATTGTAATGTGATCAAATTCGAAATAGAAGCTTATACAGGGTGTCCCAGAACAACGTACATTAAATTCAACAGGGTGAACTAAAGTTCAAAATAGGTCGATTGGGACCAACTTTCCTCTGTACGAAATTGCACCGTTGGGCCGTGAGAGGGCAATGAATGGAATTTGTTTTCAGATTTTATTGAATATTTCAAATCCTTGAGAGGTGCTCTGGAATTTGAAAGGCAGTCAACTATAAGAAGCGTGCATAGATAACAGGAAGATACAAATTTAGCATTCTGATTGGAGAAAATCCATAGAACTCTTTTTGAGTACGCCACTGACAATATTTTAATATCTACTTGAATAACAAAATCAATTATATATCTTTGTTCTCACTACATTTCTTTCTAAATTTTGCTTGGTTTACGAGATATCTGAAAAAATTCTTTCGAGTCCCTCCATATCATCCATAGTCCAAGATATCAGAGTTGTGTTCTGCAGGTTTCTTCTCCTACACGGACTGTGCTCTCCGGCATACAACACAGAAGCTCATTATTCGAGGTGCGCTTCGTGCCGTTTTTCTCGAAACCGGGCAAATTTTCGAGAAAAATGATAAGGACCATTTTTGTAGAAAATTAACTGAACTTCAATTTTTTTCTGAACCAAAAATCTCTGTCATATTTTAGAAGATATTGGCTGAAAACCTATCTTTCTGGTCTTTTGGGACCATTTTCTCCGCCATCGCACGCGTTTTCCAGTCAAACTTTGTCCCAAGTTTAATGAGGTACCAAAAGCTACTTTCAACCGGAAGATGAAAATAGTGCGTCATTAATGTTAACTTTTTCCCTTTATTTATTGGACTACAACACAAAAAATCTTGAAATTGAAAAATCTCGATTGTAAACACCCAATATCTCTGTAATAATTCCTGATAGACCCCAAGTGTGATACATTGATGAAATCAACTCTTCAGTAAGAATCTAAAAATGCAATGAAATACAGGGTGTTCCATTTGAAATAACGAAGTTGGGGTCCACTTCCGGTACAACCGGAAGTGCCACAATCTTCAAAATATTTTAGCCGGATAGCACTTATCAACAATAGTGAACTACCAAATTTTCAAATTCGGCTCACCTATGGTTTTCTATATATTGATCGATGCAGTTCCCGGAGGGACACCCTGTATATAAAATTCAAAATTTCATTCCTGTTAGATACCTAAAGAGTATTTATTTCTGTCTTTTTTATTCAAATTTACAATATCTAATATATATTTGGGGAAGTACAAATATCTCACGTTTGAAGCCACTCATGAAATTACAAAATAAAACAATAAAGTGCATTTTCAATTTCCCTTTTTTAGAATCAACTGTGAATCTATACAAACCTAAAAACTTGCTGAATCTAGTTTCATTATATAAACTCAAAATTTGTTGTTTTATTCATTTTGTAAGGAAGGAATTGAAAATATCAAATTTGAATTTTAATGAAGTAAATACGATTCACACCCATGAAACAAGGCAATTTAATTTATTGTTAGCAAATAATTATAAGTCAAAGTTTGGTAAACAATCAATATTCCATAATGGAATAATTGTATATAACTCCTTACCTAATGAGTTGAAGAATATAGAAGAAGTAGAAAAATTTAAAATCAAGTTAAAGAAATATCTGCTCAGTAAACTTTAATTCCATATCTACTAATCATTCACAATTTGATGACTTGAAATGGGTTATAATATTCTCATTTTATATTATATTATAATTTTCCTCTAAGAAAAACAATAATAGTGCAATTATGATTGTTTCGATTTATTATGTTATATGTATATTTTGTTGTATATATATCCCTATTATAAACAATAATATTTCTTGGGGTAATAAAGACAACCAATCAAAAAAAAACTCACCCAGGTCCAGGATAATGCGCCAGCTGCTGCTCGTGCTGGTGCATGTGCATCTGCGGGCCGCCCATCTGGCCAACTGTGGGCGGCAGCCGCCCCGGCGGGATCGAGCCCTGCCCGGCGGCCATCATCGGGTGGAACTGCTGGGGCGGCAGGCCGGGCTGGGGCGGCATCGCGAACTGCGGCCGGTCGTGCGGTTGGTGGGGCATGCCGGGGGGCGGCCCCATGTGCATGCCGGGTGGGAATCCCTGTTGAAATTTTATATTATACACCCGAGGTATACCGGGTGACACAGGAGACATGTAACCAGCCTGTAGTTTTTTTATTTGAAGAGATAAAACTTTGAAATCCACAAGGGTTATATTATCGATGATGGCGCTATCCTTGAACACAATGACAATTTTCTTCAACCACCAATTTGATCGGAAGTAGACCCAACTTTTATTTTTCCAAATGACACCCTGTATATTTCTGTAGCCTATCTCATTTGATTTACATCTTTCTATTCAACTATGTATCATAATTTGATATTCGTTCATAAATTGGCTATTGAATTGCATTTCATTGAAATACATGAAGTTGGCTGTGGCCCGAATAGGTCATAAAAGATTGCCAATAATTTCATTGAGTTTAAAAAAATCATCTGAAAATAACTCACGATGTTGAGAAAACTAAGATAGAAACTCGGTTTTTTTCATTTGGCTACTTGTGAAGAAACTATTTGTCTTTCATTTTTGCCATTTAGCCATAATATAATCATCCATTAGGATACATACAACTGGAATTGTTGTAATAATTGATGTATCGTTCTAATATCGTGAGTTATTTTAGGCTGATTTTTTTAAACTCAATGAAATTATTGGCAATCTTCTGGGACCGATAAGGGTTTTTTTATGTTCAGGTTCTCACGAAAAAGGAAATCCTGTAATGTTCAGAGAACATCGAGAGAACCATGCGAAATATGGTTGGAATTGGTGTTCTTCTTGAATTTCTGGAGGTTATATGCCTCAGGGAACGCCTCCCTTGGCAATGTTTTCCAGATGTCAAATGTCAATAGATTGCTTTCGAATGACATTACACACGCCATTATTTTCAATGATATTCTTCCTTCTTTTCACTAAATATGGATTAATCTCAAGAAAATCATATTTATAGTTGAATTATATATAAATTGTCCAATATGATGAAAAAATAAGGTAAATTTGTTCTAAATGCCATCCAGAAGACAGGTGAAAAAGAAGGTGAAATTTGGAACTCTTTAGTCAAATATCTTCATGATAAATATCATGATAAGTGCAGTTTTACCTTTTTAAGTAGAGTGTTTGTAGTTCATGTTAATATGATAGTAGCAATTTGATCATTGGAATGAATTCTGCATTCATTGCCACGAGGCAAATGACCGTTTTCAGAAAGAAATTTGAGAATGAGAATTAAAAATGCCTGTTTATTATGAACATTCCAGAAAATTTCCTCGAATTCAGAGATGATTTTGTTGACTATAATATACGAATACAAAACTAACTGCACAATCAAAGCTTTTCTATTTTTCCTCTACTTATACTTTTTATGAGAGAGTAATTGTCTTCTATTATTAATTCATCATTATAAATTAAGCTCTGTTTACTACTGAACTTAGATACTTAGATGGAGTAAAATCCTCGCGGTGAATTGCATATACTTAACCACATTTTCGATAGCTCCTCGTCCAACGGGAAACTGAAAGCATGAACTTTTGAACCACCCACATAATTCCCCCGACAAAAGGGAACACAACACTTGAAAGGCATTGTTATTTCGCCGATCACAACACAAAATATTTCACAAAACAGTAATTTTTCCGCCAATTATATTGATGAATAAACAACTAAAGAATTCGGGACCGTTTCAAAAACATACGTGAATCACCGATGAATTAACACGAACTGACGCGTTAGTCGACAAGCGATAAAATAAAACACTGGCCTCTCTTGGCGACGTCACGAGCTGTTTACGTCAGAGTCTGCTGGCCTTGTTGTATCGGTGGTAACGGTTAATCTCGCGGGGACTGCCAAAGGAGGAACAATTGTTGATATTTCAGGAGAGCATCGTCCATAAAAATATCTATAAAATAGAGCCAGATCGCCAACTTTTCTACGGTGTTCCAGAGAAGTGAGTGAGTTTGTGAGCGAGGCATCCCCACGAGAGGAATTGCCCTTTTTTGGACAGAATCTAACAGTTTCAGGGTATGTTTGGGTGCTGCACTCCAAATATGGGGACAGTATTCCAGAACAGGTCGGATATGTGCCTTATATATCATAAGCGAAAAAGGTCCTGGCCCGAAACAGACAACCAAGTTTTTGGGATGCACTTTTAGCAATTGATCTCACGTGATTATCCCAAGAAAGGTTACTGCTGATAGTGATACCAAGCATCAAAATGGATGTCTTCAAAGGTATGGTTACTCCTGAAAAGCTTATGTTGGGCACAGTGAGATCGGCTTTTCTAGAGAAAAAGCATACTTGTGTTTTGTTTGCATTGAATTCTACCAAGTTATTGGATCCCCATTCGAAAATTGTTGCCAAATCCATATTTATGTTGTCAACATTTCTTCTTCGTTCGTTTCTGATTTGTGTGGCTGGTATTGGAGCCCTGGAAGAGGAGGCGGTACGGAGGGTACTATCATCCGCGAAGCTGTGTACTGGACATGAAGTTGCTTCCAACAAATCGTTGATATGGAGTAGACCAGCATTTATGATAAGAGTCAGATGAAACTCCGTCGGACTACATGGAGAGACCTGTTTGAGACAAAACTAGCTAGCAAAGAACATAGCTAGGGAGGAAAGACATAAGATGGAAGCGTGGCGAGGAGTCCGTGGTGCCAGACTCGATCTTTGGATGTCTAAGCCTATCAAGCCACAGGCAACTTCATGTATTTCAATGAAATGCAATTCAACAGACAATAGGCTTATATCACAGAAAATTTTTATTTCATAATTCGATAGAACTCACCCAAACTAGGTCACCACCGCAAACCGTTTCCTGCTGTGAGCTCCCTACGTTTTATAAAAAATTATTGAAATCCTCGATTTTTCGTACCTCTGAAAACGAGGCGATGATGTGACGTCAAAACCCTGATACTGAAACAAGACTTTTCCAGACAGAGATGAATGATACATGATTTCTGACAGAGTGAATTAGCGCGAGATCACGGTTGAAAGAATTAATATATCAGTTGCCTCAGTCTCCGTCGGGCGTTTGGTATTTTCTTTCAACTATGGCGAGATGAGGTTTCTACGTCATAAGAGGGTCCGTTTTCAGAAGATACTATTATTTATGTCCAAAAATAAAACATTCCAGTTAATTTTTCGATCGAATTATGTCGTCAATCATTATTTATGTATAAGAGGATCATTATAAACATGGTTTGAGTTGAAAGTTCTACTAAGGTGTACACGCCCATTAATGAACGAATATCAAATTGCCATACATAGTTGATTAAAGAATTTCAAGGCGAATAAAATAGACTATTGAAATATACGGGGTGCCATTTGAAAAAAAAAAAGTTGGGTCTCCTTCCAATCAAATGGTGGTTGAAAAAAATTGTCATTGGGTTCAAAGGAAGCACCATCACCGATTATATAACCCGTGTGAATTTCAAATTTGTAACTCTTCAAATAAAAAAACTACAGGCTGTTACATGTCCCCCATGTCACCCGGTATGGTCCAAGAGCCGGCTACAAAAGACCCCGCACTATACTATAGGGAAAATGACTCTTGATGAAAATCGCTGAATTTTTGGTATGTTGCAGACTTTGATATACTAAACAGATCAAAATGAAATGGAAACCTGACAAACTTCAAAAATCTACTCACCTATATGAGAATGTTCAGGAAAATGTGTTTGAAAATCAAAGCTAATTTAATTGGCTCATTTTTCTAGTAGGTTCACTCATAGATTTCTGAGGATGCCCCATAATGAAGGACGAAACGTAGATGATGATGAAACATTATTTTTTCCTGACTCCTGACCTTGAAATTGTACAGAATAACATACTGAAGGTCAACTTCATACAGTTGTTTGAATACCATTCAGGGGTCAGTAGCAGTAAAACTGTCAAATTTTTTCGAAAAAATTTGATTTTGAGGTCGATGTCGAAAAAACTGTCAATTTTTCGAGGTTAGGTCAATTGGATTGTTTCATCAGTTCATAGGTCGCGTGCAAGAACTGTCAGATGACCGACCCTGGAGGCAAAACATATTTGTTTACAAGTGATCGAAATAGTTTTCCACAATTATTTTGGCATATGAATCGTATTTTTTCGCTATTCATCAATTCGCTAATGCCATCACATTGTGCTGTTGTAAAATGCACAAAAACTGCAGCGGAAGATGAAGAAATCCGAATGGTACATTATGATTCAAAAGTAAGTACCTACTATAGTCACTCACATAGTTTTCATTTTTGAAATTTGGTTATTTCTCTGATTTCTCATCGGAATTCCTTCTGCAATAGGATCAGCTAATAGAAATATACCTGAAATTTCTAGAATAATGCAAGAAGATTGGATTCATGCAATCAATCGGTAGGACTGGTCTGACATGCTGACGATCGTGTGTGTTGTAGACATTTTCAATCTATTAGCAGCATTAGCTTGTATTGCAGAAGTGGCAGAAGGCAGAAGGAATTTTAATAAGGAATGACAACATTTCATAATGCTAACTATGTGAGATTACTATTTACCTGAAAAATCATATTCCCTGGTCTCTTGCTACATTTTTTGTGCATTGTACAACAGCACAATGCGAAGGCATGCTTGAATTAATGAATAACGCAAGAAACACGATTCGTATGCCAAAATATTGTGAAAAACTATTTCAACCTTTTGATTCCTCTGTAACCAAATAAAAAAGTGAGGTTGTGTTTCAATAATTCACAGAAGAATGAGGTTGTGTTTCAATATTTTGCCTCCAGGGTCGGTCTTCGTGCACGCGACCTATCCCTAACTACAACATACCAGAAATTCAGCCATTTTCAGAGATTTTTTTTCTTGAAAAAATGACATTTGGAGGTCATTATCGGAAAAACTGTCCATTTTTTAAGGTTATTTCAATGGAATATCTGTTCAGTATATCAAAGTCTGCAACATACCAAAAATTCAGCGATTTTCATCGAGAGCCATTTTCTCTATAGTTTAGTTCGGGGTCCTTTCGACGATCATCTGATAACGAAATGATATATGTCCCAAAGGTATATAAAACTATTGTAGTTTATCGAACGGCACCTGTGCCAATCACTATCCTAAGCAAAATGATTGAAAAATTGCACTTTCCTGTGCGGAAAAATGCGATTTGAAAACGAGATAATAATTATGCCATCCAATACCAATTCAATAGATAGATTCATTATTCCAAATTTTTTGGGATTTTCTCTCCTCGTTTCTATAAAATAAAAATATGAATATTATTTCAATATACAGTATTGAATAAATAAATTTCAAAAACCTACCTGTGCCACCCCTCAGTCTGGGCTAAATCTACGGCACAGCGGTTTATTTGATTCTATTATTCCGGACATACCTCCATGTCATAACGAGTTAAAACAAGCAGCAGATGAAAGGATATGATGTCGCCTTTGCGAATATCCAACGTGCCAGGATTCAAACTCATCTAAGTTAGTAGCAGAGCGTCAATACTTCCGAGAATATTTCACCCCCTTCTAAAGATATTCTCCGATGGACAAGTTAAAACTAAACATGTGGATTAGAATACTGGTAGTGTGAGAACTACATGAGTTTCACACTGGTCCATCGGTTATCATCTTTCGACAAGGGGAAAATATTCACGGAAATATTGACGCTCTGCCACTAACTTAGATCAGTTGAAATCGCAGCACATTTGGATATTCTCAAAAGGGACATTTTTTCTGTCATTTGCTTCTTGTTTCAACTCGTTATCACATGACGGAAGTATGTGCCATGGATTTGGCTCAGACTAGAGTCCCTGTATATACTTTAGACAAGAGTCCGGACACAAAACTGACAGCCGTTGGGGTTTTTAATATTTTGTTTCATTTGGTTTGCCCACCTGACAATGTGACGAAACACCATAGTCGTCCCACCCGCTTTTTTTAATTATTTCGAATTTCTGTCACTGTCACTTTGAAATTTTATGGCCGCCAAAATTTTGCATTTTAAATTATTTCAATGTCCTGCTGCGTACATTATTGCGATAATTCATTAGAAAAGGGATTCGAGTTATTCAATTTTCCGAATGATCCTTTAAAGATAATGTCATGGAAGAATGCAATGAAACGTCCAGAATGGAAAATTAATTTCAAGAAATCCGCAATATGTGGGGTAAACATTCGAATTTACTTGTAAAAACAGTACAAAAAAGATGAATTTTAGGCCCATTTTGATAGAGATTCTTTCAAGCTGATGGATTTCAAATTGAAAGAGTCTGCTGTGCCGTCAATGTCTTCAAAAAAAGAGATGATGCGGAGAGAAATTGAAAGTTTGAAATCAAAACAAGAAGATTTAGGGAAATTGCAATGTGCTATGCTAGTGCTATGTCATCAGTCCAAGGTGTTTTCAATTCAGATCAAATTAAAGAATTTATTGGTGAATGTAGACTGCAGGAAGAGGTGGGAAACCGACACAATTAAAATTATATTGAAACAATTATATATCTTCTATTTTTTTTACGTCCCAACAGAAAACAACTATATTTTCTTGGCTATATGTGATACCACATAGAACACTTAAATTATCTTTTTTTATATTTAATGAAGGAAAGAAATATCTGATGACGAAAATTTGCAATATCCATCTCAGGAATTGATTACGAAAATTATCGATTCGAAATTTGAACACCCTGTTGTTCATTATTTGAAAATCTAATAGTTATTCTAGTTAAAATAGCCCTATTTCTCACTTCTACCTACGGCTATGAACGGTTTGACAAATAATCTAACCCTCAAAATTATTTCTGACAATCATTGATACTAGGGGAATTGGAAAGACAGAGCTCGTTATATATGTCTTATTCCTTTATTCAATCATCAATGCATTTTTTGAAAACAGAAAAGGACAGAAGTATAGTTGTGTCCGGACTCTTGTCTAAGGTATATACAGGGACTCTAGCTCAGACTGAGGGGTGGCACAGGTAAGATTTGAGATCTACCATTCGATTGATTGGTATCGGATGGCATAATTCTTATCTCGTGATTGAATCGCGAAATCGATTGCAAATTTCCGCACAGGAAAGTGCAATTTTTCAATCATTCTGCTCAGAACATAAAAAAAGGATAGTGATTGGGACAGGTGCCGTTCGATGAACTACAATGTTTTTACTTTTCTTTGGGACATATATTATTTCGTTATCAGGTGACGGTAGAAATCTGCAGCCGGCTCTCTTACTAAGAGTCTAAGTGTCTAGATCTTTCGAACCATTCTCATCACGAGATATGTCGAATGTCATGTTTTTGATGATTATTTATAGATTAGTTTATAACTGAAAATATATAAACGGGGTGCAAACGAATGCACCCACCAGTTGCCGGGTGCTTACAAACGCACCCGCACATTTGGATAGTTTTGGGGTTACACAGGGTGTAATTTAATTGATTGCTAGAAATATAGGATATTGTTCCTTAGCTCATGTCATCAAGGAAAGTGCACATGAACATAACATATACTCTAAGCCTCTCAACTTTCGATCTATAGGGTGTTAACATTTTAAGAAAAAATTCGATTTCTCATCATAACTTCACTACTGTTCTAGATATTCTCATGAAATTTTACGTGGACCTACTAAGCACTATGTGGTAATTTGTAGGTTAGATTTAGTCTAATATTCATTCGAGTAGAATCCACTGATTGAGTTAGTCAAGATGGTTTTTATTTTATTACGCGAAAACGGTGCGTCGACGGAAAAAAATAGGGAGGTCATGCAAATTGTTGCAAAATGAATGAGGATTTCTAAAATGATTTTTATTTTCGGAAAAAGCATAAGCGTACGTTATATTTTTTTTAATCTCCAGTATACATCCCAAAACGGAAGCCATGCACTGGTAATAATATAAAAAAATCTACTGCATCAAAAAATGCCTATTGGTGCTTAGTAGATGCATTCATGAAAATATCTAGGACAATATTGGAGATGATAAAAACGATGTCTTTCTCACAATTATAACACCCTATGGCTCGACAGATAAAAGGTTTATGGCATATATTCATATGAACTGTTCTTCTTAAAATGATCTAAGTAACTATATCCTAAATTTGGAGCCATCAATTAAATAAGTACACCCTGTATATCGATAAATATGCACACAGCTTCTGCACCCAAAAAACTAACTTGCTATCCCTGGCCAGATATTTCACGACTCAGCACCAGATGATCAATGAGCATGTGAGAACGTGATGAACAAACTTACCATAGGTGTAGAAGGAGGTTGATAACCATAACCCATTTTTCCAGCACCTGAGAATGGTTGCTCCCTCATCAAAGTATGATACAGACCCAACGCATCAACAAGATCACCGCTGAGTTGCGTCAGCTGAGCATGTTTTCTATCAACCCTTTCTAATTCTGCATCTATCAAAGGTCCCATTCTATTAACTTCATCTGAAAGATGAACCATTTATGAGGTTGGCAGGTAGATTTTTAAATAAATACAAAAAAAGCTCAGTCATATCCACAAATGTTCATAATATGAACACCAATGGAAGATGACTAGATAAAAACAACTACTTTCCTGGCTAATACCACGCAAAACATCGAATTACTTAATCCTGAAATCTATGCATCCAGACGTATAAACGAATACGAACGAATAGAGCAATTCAGCTAGCTTTGAGAGAGAAAATATGTCTTCCCCAATTGTCCTTGTCTTCAGTGTCCAACGTGAAATATTTTTTCTTATTAATTGAACAAATAACTTCCAGACAGAATGACTCTGGTATAAGGAAGTACATTTCACCACTCAAAATATATCAACAACTATAAATTGGCAAACAAAGAATAATATTTGAAGGAAGAACATAGTTAAATGACATGATCAATTTTATCCAGTTCGCTCAGAAACTATCAGTTTTTTCACTTTATTTTTGAATGTACCAATATTTCCGCAGTTTTTGGTATTGATTGCTAGGTACTTTATTTAATTCAGTTAAGGCTGAATGAGTGAATCTTTTTTGTCCGAGTATGGAGATAGCGGCGTCAAGATGAAACAAGTTAAATTGTCTAGTTACATGATTATAAATTTCAGAATTCCGTATCAAAATAAAATTCGACTTCAATTTTTTATTCATGATACTATATAAAATTTTAAGAGTTTAAATTCTATATATTTCATCTGAAGAATACGTATTTGTTATTTCATACAATTTATTGGTTGGTGTATCAAATGGGAGACGATATAGTACTTTTAACGATTTTCTATATAATTTTGATATTATATTGAAATTATTTTTTGAACAAGATCCCCAAACATTTATTAAATAGTTGATACGACTCAGTATATGAGGGTAGAGAATCATGTTTGCAGTTTTAATATCTAGTTTGGGACATCTTCTCAATGCACCAATAATAGGAGATATTTTGTTTATCAAAACATCAATATTTTTGTCCCACTTCAACCTGCGGTCATACCAAATACCAAGATATTTTATCTGGTCGGTTTATTTTAAGAGTTCATTTTCTATTTTGAGGTTGAGGTAAAATTTTTTGTTTATTTTTTGATGAAAAATTATATATGAATTCTGTTTTATTAGTATTTATGGATTTTTTTTTTTTTAAAGCGTTTATTTCATCCCAAAATACACAGAGTGTTACATAGGGATACCTCTAATAATAAGTACAAAAATAACTTGATATCACACAGTTCTGCCCTTCAATCACTATATCTACAGGTAAACATATAAGAAATGTAATGTATAAAGTTAAATTCTAAATATAAAAATTACGGTAGAATAACACAATAAACAAGTTAAGATGTATCACAGTGAAATAGTTGAGATAATAAAATATTTGGTTAGATATATCACAGTAGTAGGTTAATGACTGATATAATGAAATAGTGCTTTCAATGGGTATACAAGGGAACGTGTCTCTTCATGACAATTTTAAATTTGTTTACATTCAATTTTTTTATGTTGGAGGGGAGTTTGTTATATTCTGCTGCTCCTTTATATAACAGTGAATTCAGGCCATGACGTGAGCATATTCGTGGTAAAGATATATCTTTGCATTGTCTAGTTTCATATGGATGAATTTCATATCTCATAGGGAACTCCATTTGAGTGTGTCTCACCTGATTCAGTGCTTGATGAATAAATTCATAACTTTCACCACATAGAGGCTATCCAGGGATCTAATATTGTATTTGCCGAACAGATTTGATGTTGTAGATCTCATTGGTAATTGATACAGGTTTTTGATGGCTTTGTTCTGTAGTGTTTTCAGTGGTGTTATATAACTCTCAAAAGTTGAGCTCCATATGATGATTAGGTATTCCAGATGGGAATGAACTAGGGAGAAGTAAACTGACCTCAATAGATATTTTGGCACAGTATAACTTAATCTCCGAAGAACACCTACTGGTCCTATAATTTTTTTGCGTACATATTCAATGTGCTCATGCCATGAAAGCTTTTCATCAATGATCAGGCCAAGAAATTTAATTTTACTAGAGTATTTCATAGTACTATTTCCAAATGATATTTCTTTTTTGGTGTAATCAGGCACCTTACATTTATCAATCCACATGAAAGAAGATTTATTCAAATTGAGGGTCAACTTATGGCAAGATAACCATTTGGTCACGCACTGGAGGTCTTGTTCGATGTTCTGAGAGATGACATCACATGTTTCTCCAAAGTATACAATTGTTGTATCATCTGCATACAGTCGGACTTCCCCTCTAATAGTTATGTTCGTTAAAGAGTTGATGTAAATGAGGAAAAGGGTGGGACCTAAAATCGATCCCTGTGGTACACCACAGGTAATTTTCTTCTTTTCACTAGAATATGAACCGTATTGGATGAATTGCTTTCTATTTGATAGGTAGTCACGAAACCATGTGACATACTTCCCCTGAACACCGATCATTCTCATTTTTTCCAGTAAGATATCATGGTTGACTGTGTCGAAGGCTTTACACAAGTCAAGTGAAACAAGAGCACACTTTTTGTTTTTATCAATTTTCATTTGTACTTCAGATATCAGATCAACAGCAGCGCTGGTGGTGTCACTTGACTTGCGAAAGCCATACTGTGATTTGGTCAATATACTATTTTCTTCAAGATATTCCAGCAGTTGCTTGTTCACGATTTTCTCAATTATTTTCGATAGTATTGGAAGCACTGATAAAGGGCGATAGTTATTTGGGTCTTCCTTATCACCGGACTTATACATAGGTGACACTTTCGCTAGTTTGAAGACTTCTGGTACTTTACCACATGATAAGGACTGGTTTATAAGTTTATACAAAACACTTTGTAGTTCAAGTTTACACTCTTTCACAGTCTTTGCTTCAATCTGATCCCATCCTGGTGCCTTGGATGTATCCAGGTCATCTATAATTTTACCTATATCCTCCTGTGTTACCGGGGTGAATGAGAATCTGGCATCACAAGTTGTTTCCTTGGCAGGGTCTATATTTTGGGATGTGATGTTTGCGGCCAGTTTTTCCCCAATTCCAACAAAATAGTTGTTCATATAGTTGCAGACTTCTTCCGGACTTGTGATGGTATCATTGTTATCTGTTTTTATAGAAGAAATATGGTTTGTATAGGTTGTTGACTCGTTTCTAATGATGTTGTTTATGATTTTCCATGTTTTTTTTTGATCCCCATTAGTTCTATTGAATTTTTCTTCATAATATTTCTTCTTCGCAGCTTTGACTTCAGTTTTTACAGATTTTTGAGCGATTTTGTGTTGGTCGAAGAAATATTCATTACTTGGAAATCTTTTTTTCTTTTCGTATAGATACTCTTGATGTTTTATCGCTTGTAGCACTTTCGAGGTGAACCAGGGCTTGGAGTCTTTCCTGAATTTGTTTTTACATCTTTGATAAGAAGTGTTTTTTTCAAAACAATTAGCTATTTTTCCATAGTTTACATCTATGTCAAGGGTGTCCAGGTAATTTCTATCAACCTCTAAGAGATCTTGCTTTAATTTCTCCAGATCAATTTTTTTTTCCTGTAGAACTTTTCAGGTTGTTGTTTGGAGATCTCAGTATTTATTTTCAGAATTTGTAGTTCATGATCACTAATACTGTTGCTTATTATTGCTAGTTCTATAGATGCAGTGACTTTTGAACTAATTAATGAATGGTCAATAAGTGTTTGTGAATAGCCAGTGGTTCTTGTGGGAATAGTTTCATTGACTATTTGAAACCCATTTGTCACACAGACATCTTTGTAATTGGATACTATTCTTGAATTGTCAATTATATTTATATTGATGTCACCCATAATGATCACTTCTTTATTCGTTAGATTCGCCAGTTCCTCATCCAGAAAGTCCAAAAAATGTTTTTTGTCACTTGATGGTGGGTTATAAATGGCTCCGATATATCTATTATAGTTTTCCAGGTATAGCAGAATATATGACCAATTTCCTCGACTGACAATCTTGATTACATTGAATTCTATGCACTCTTTCACGAATATGGCAGCTCCCCCTCCTCGTTTTTCCCGACTTGCAAATACTGCTTTATATCCCGGAATATTGAAGTATTTTTCCTCCTCCTTCATCAGCCACGTTTCAGAAATGACAAGAGCGGTTACGTTTTCAACTTCGTCAAGCATGATTTCAAGTCTTTCGAGTTTGTTTTTTATAGATCTAGCATTCATGTACATGATATTCACACTTTGGGCATTAGAATATTTTTTTCTTTTATTATCGCACTTATAAGTGCAAAGTTCACTGTAGGTTTTTACGGCCATTGCAGAAGTCAGAGATGTAGTATCCATAGTATAGGTGATTTTCATGAAATTAATCTGGTTCCTAGTTGCTTCCAAGAAGTTCTTCGATTTGATGGGGATTAACTATTCTGATAGCTCTTGTATTTTCTGATTCACAGAATAGATAAAAGGTTAGAGTGGAGCCATTTTTCAAATATATTCAAGTGTTCATCATATCTTCATATTGAAGTACTGTATCATCTGCATACATGGTATATTTATTCGCTAGACCAATTTCACTGATATTTTGAACATAAAGTAAATATAGTATAGGTCCTAAAACAGAGCCTTATTAATTAAGGATTAATATATATGCAACATTGAATATCAGAAAATGTGGAGAAGAAGATTGTATTAACCTCAATTAAATAAAAGGTTAGAATGGTCTTTAGAATGGTCTTTTTCTCTATTTCTTCTTATTTCCAGTGTCGCCAAAGTAAAACGTCACTATTTCACGTTGGAACACTGAAGACGAACGAATTCGTTTAAGCATACATAAATAGTCAATTGGCTGGACAAATGGAGGCAACAGATGACTGTATTCCATTTTATGTCTTTGTGTTTACAGTCAACGGCTCTCAATTCAGAAATAGTGGCACATACGACTGGTGCAACAGCTCTTTCGCATTATTTAAGCAGTAGAAAATACCTCGCAATATGAATAATCAGAAAATGTTAACTATTTTTACTACATCAAAAGTTCGAGTTAGAAACTGTTCAGTTGGATAATACACTTAGTAAAGATCTTCAGGTATATCTTCGTGAATAATTAATGATGCTCCAATCAGAGCCGGACTAACCTAATGGCAATTACGCCCATGGGGCCCACTTTGATTGGAGGCTCCGAGGCGCGAGACCCTTGAGATATTAGTATTTTTATTCAATAATTTCTGAGCAATTGAAGGAAGAGTAGGAATATTTCCAAACTACAGTTCAAACTCAGCCTTCTTTTTCTGCAATTCTAATGATTTCTCTCTTAGATTTTTCCTCTTACTCAGTTGGGATGCAACAACAGTTTAATTTGAATAACTGGACCACTTCTAGATTTTTTTCCTCTTGCCACTCTTGTTTAAATATTTCGCTAACCACCGCCACCACTTTGCGTATGAATTCCTATTATTAATTTAATGAAGAATGAAGGGAAAGTTTTCATTATACTGCAGGTTACTATCACTTCAATGTGTTCCCAAATGGCTGACATTAACCAATACTGTCAGTCATATCGGAACTTGATAATTTCTCATAAAAAAATTAATAAAATAATACAGCGACCACTACGATATTAAACACATAAAAAAATCCCCTATTTAGAACTCTACTCATTATAAGATATATTCATTTATGTTTTTAATATGGTCTGTCGAAATACTATGTATCATTAATTTGCATTTTCCATGCAAACTACGGAGATGTCACTTTCGACCTCGATTGGATACAAATCGTACGGAAATTTAGAAATGGCTTCAAAGTTGATTCATTTACTATGGAGGCTTCAAAAACATTCCCGATAAAAACAAACATCTATAAAATTCTAGGGCATTTAAGTATATTATTTTTAATCTTTCGTTTGTCTGTACTTGTGAAGGTTCTTGGGATTACTACATTTGACAAAGAATTCCAAAGCTTCGCCATTCTATACAGGATGACATTGAAATAAATAAAAATATTTGAAACTCCCTAGGAACGCACGATGTTCTTTGAACATTATAGGGATTTCCTTTCGTGCACTCCAAGCGAAAAAAAAAACTATCGGGATCATAATAAAATTTGTTGGAGACCCCTCTTTTCACCCAAAGTAGCAATTCTGACGTCACCTCTGTACAAATTTCCGTGCGGAAATTGTTCTAGGTAGTTGATTTTTTTTTCTATTATGTGTTCAAGTTTCGGGATGAGACGTCTTGCTGAATTTGAAGAATTAGAAGAAATCTGATATTTTGGGAATATTCGTTAGACTGATCATATTGATGTGCTGAATATACTTATTTCAAAAACACCTTGTATGATATTGAATAGGAAAAACTTTTTGGGGACATATGAATGGGGAAGGGGGCAATGAGACTGACTCACACTGTATAGAGGCTTAATGTGGCCCTGGCTTGAATCAAAAAAATTCTAAATAATCTTCACTCACTTTCTAAATGAAGCATCTCTTCAGTGTCTTTCTCTGGGTTTGTGGGGTCAGCTTCATGTAACAAATGTAATAGTCTATCAATTTTCTGCTCATTTATTTCTATCACTTCTGGTTCTTCTTTCATTATCTTAACCTCAGCAGGTTCTTTGAACTGAACCATTTTCTTTGCTTTATCGTACACTGAAACAAAATATATTTAAATGATTAGAGAATAGGAAGTTAGAATAGTTCAGCAACTTCTTCAAGAATTCACAAACATCTGATATCTGATGAGCCGATTGATCTTTTTACCCGAAAATGTGATAACTTACAGAATGATTCTGGTTCCACTGATAAATCAGCTGTAACAAAATTGGCTGGAAATAGTCCTTCTCCTCTATGGTTACTTCCTTTCCACCAGTTGGAGTCGCTATCGTCTAGCACAAATACTGTGAATAAAATCAACCATTATACTCTGTTTCATCGTCTCCACTCGATAAACCCGAAATAATTATTGTCTATGCAAAGGTTCCTGCTTCACACAATATCTGAGACCGGTAGCGGCTGGGAAAACATGCATTTTGCTTTCAGTATTTTTCATTTTCCTGGCCGCACGATTCTCTGTTCGGTGATTACCTGACTGATCACATGTGCTCCTTCCCCTACTACCGTCCACAGTAGAATTTCGTTTGTCATCAGATCCTCTTTCTCATTCGTTTTTTCTGTGCATTGTCGAACAATGTAGCATGTTCAAGAAAATAATCAACATCAAATGCTTTCAAATTATGTAATCGCGTTCGAATGCTTTTAAATTATGGTATCGCCGAAGTGCAGCTGCTGCATTGCATTTGTACACGGAAAGACTTTCGTCAAGGAATGATCCAACACCGCGAATGTGTGTTAATTTGGTGCAATGGTTTCGTGAAATATGGTGTTTGAAGTAACTAAGAGGAATACTTGCCTTCCTTTAAGAATGGTTTTCTATCTCATCTACTCCTGTAATATTGACATCTTATCTCATTTTTATAGTTTTCTTGTACAACTACTATAGTTCATTTGAACTTGAAAAAAAAAAAGATTCTTTTTGAGTTTGAGTCTTATTTTACTGTCTTCTTTATTTTATTTTGTCAAATATATTTATGTATTCACTATGTTCCCTGCTATAAACAAATGTTGTTTCTTGGGAATAATAAAGTTGATTGATTGATTGATTGATTGATCTCAGTTCAGTTGATTGTAAGATGCTCAATATATTCTGGTATAGTGTGGACGTGAAAATTCTCCCCTTCAGAAAGTTTCAAAATTCCAAGCAGTTCCGGAGATATGCATAAAAAACTGAAATGTAACTTCGTTTTCTTTTTTTTTTTGACGATATGTTAAGAGATATCGAAAAACAAAGGACACTTTTCAAGTTCTACGAAAGGGCATTGAGAGATTTTCCGTACAGGGTTTCATTCCGGAAAAACCATTATCAACTTTATGTATTGTAGAGCTTAAAATGTGGAACTGAGAAAGTATCCTTAGTTTTCCTATATTTTTTTGAATAAAGACAGAAAAAAATAGAAACGAAATCGGCAAATTTCGGTATATTAGGCATATCTCCGGAACTACTCAGAATTTTAAATCTTTCCAAACGGCATCTTTTTAGGCTTGAAAATGTGCAAGTTTTCTCCATCCTCATGTTCCTTATCTTGGACACACTGCATACCTGAGAGTCTTTTTTTTTTACTCATCATTTGAAAAATGAATATGTTATTTTGATAAATATTAATGGTCTGCAACCCTAATGCTAAAATTCTGAAACAAACTGTCCGTGTAATATAAGTTGTCCAACTGGTATACGTTTCTGATACACTGTGTTGAGAAATTCACCAATTTGGTCCATCAACGCCAGTGGTAGAAAATTTGCTGCTGCTAAATTAACAGAAAATGTGATGAGGATATGTTGTGTTGCTAATTCACCTGGTCAACAATCTGAAGAGCCACCAACTCAGTGTCATTCAAATTAGGTGAATAGTTGGATCAATATTTCAATCGTAATTTTAGTTGAAACTGTCATAAGAAATAATAGTTCTATTTGTTTTGGTGCGCTGGTGTAGTTTATAATTTCGGCTGAATAATTCACATAAATCTTAAGTTACTGAAATAAGACTCAATAGGTTACTGCAATCTAGCAGCAATGATAGTGATAGTACTACAGACTAGATAATCATCAGAGTATATAATTATAAATCATAGCAGTAATCAAAACATTGTACAGTTGTGGAGTCACGTAGCTTGTCATCTGGTGCCCACTGTGTGATAAGTATAATATATTGATAAATATTTCACATCATCTTCGATTTCAGCATTCCGTCAAAAATTCACAGGGGTCTAACCTCGAATCTTCGATAAGGTCAACAGAATCACGAAGTGAAATGACATGTTGTATATTTCAGTGACACCGACAGTTCATCAACCTATGACGTCACTATGGTGGCGATGCCCGAAATTAGTGAATTTAGCAACACATTGATTTATTCTGTAGGGATATAGACCATTTCACGCAGAATATGGCCAAGTTGGAAGTAATTCGGGATATCGAATTAAATATTCTTTCATTGGCAACACTGACATGTCATGCACAAAATTTGAAAAATTTATATTATTCTTACAGTGCACGTCAAATTGAAAATTTAAAATTGATATCTGGTTTTAATTAAGTACTTTCATGGAGATAAAAACCATCAATCGATTATAAATGTAATCGATTATAAATGTAAGTACATATATTCCTGATATATGCAAAACCACATAGACAATGCAGTCAATTAGCTAAATGATTGAAGACTGAAAATAAATCCTCAGAAGTGTCAGCTAATGCCATTCAATCATGTTATAAAGAATAATTCCCCAACTGTGTAGTACCTTGGAGTCCAACTGGACAATAAACTGAATTTTGAATATTACTCCAAAATTTGTGAGCATAATACAAAATCGAGAGCAAAATATGTCTTTTACTTAATAATGGCATCAACTTCGCAGCAGCGGCAAAGATTTGTAAATCCATATGCAGACCTTTGCTGGACTACGGACATACAATATATCTCAACTGCAGAAATCCTACCATGCAGAATTTAAAAACTGCAGAAACGTCATCCCTCCGCACAATTACTAGAATCAGACATCCTGACAACCATCTACACAACTCCTCCAATCAATATTTGTACAACAAAACTAGAATAGAACCTATACCAGAACGACTGAGGAAGTTATCCCAAAAATTCGCCCTCAAGACCAGCAACATGAAGCTAATAATTCCCCACCTAATTCCAAGAGAAGACCTGACATCACATTTCGAATTCCCGGAAAGAACAATACAAGATATACTCACATCATTGAGTGAAGATCAGTTGGACATTTAATTTATCTCTAAGATTAATTTATAAATTTATATCAACTTTTTTTTGTTCAAATTCATTTTACAAACTCACATTTGTCATTTATATTGAAATTATTAAAATACCACCCATGTCAAAATTTACCTTTTGGTTGTAATTTATAACCAATAAAGAGCATTTATTATTATTATTGTTTCATCCGTTGATATCACATTTATATCCGGGCTTACCTTAGTTTCCCTTTTCCAATTTCAACAAAAGTTCGAAATTTCGGATTCGAATTTGAACTGACATTCTCTTGGCAGCACTGAACCTGGCAAATTTTAAACATTTTGTGAAATGATAGAATTGTAAATGTTGCCAATAAAGAAAGAACAAATAATGATACCCAATATGTCAAAAGCAGCGCTCCACCAAATGGCAGACCGCGGTCCGGATCCGGACCGCCGACCTTTTTTGTGCGGACTCAGAAGAATCTGAGAATATCCGTATAAAAATTTGTGATTTCAATTTAGCCCGCGCTTTGTCATGTCTCGCCGCTCATCAGATAGCCACGTGACAACGAATGACGGGCGCGAGATAATAAGGACGCGATGCACTCGCATGCGTTGCTTTTGTGAGGCTTGCGCGTGGGTTGCAATTGCAAGGCATGCGCGTGGGTAGCGTTTTATTCATCCATTCCACGTGAACAATGCCGGGCCGAATCAAGGAGCATCGCGTGGCGTTTTGTTTGGTTGATTTGCTTTTGTGTGATACCACATGTACATGTATCTGCTAGCCTACAGACTGACTACCTTGTAAAGAAGTACTCTCTGCGAGTTGTTTTTCAGAATGGATACAAATTTTGTGTGGTAATAAATACCCAAAACTGGAAAATTTAACTTTGTACAATGTTTGGATCAACATATATTTGTGAAGCAGCGTTTTCCAAGATGAACTTCATTAAAAATAAATTTCGATCTCGTCTTACCGATGACCATCTCCAGGATCAAATGGCAATAGCTTGCACCAACTCAACACCAGACTTCAGACATATTGTTCAGAGTAAAAAATGTCATTTCTCGCCTTAATATTATGTACTTACAACGTTTTTTTTCAATTAGATGTTTACTTAATGATTAAATGTTCTGATCTCTTCTGGCTTTATTCATTCATTGATATTTCAGATCTTGATTGTTCGTTATCATCCGCAGGGAAACTAATTGGTGATCCCTGGTCTATTGTATACTCACTGATTTCTCCACTAGTAAACGTCAACTCGTTGTCCTCGACTGCTTCGAAATCGTACAAAGCCCTCACCTTCCTGGACTCTTTAGCTGGAACGGAACTAGCCGGCAAAGAAGCGGATCCCGACATATTGACGGAAGGGTACAAGGAGTTGGATTGATTCAACTTAGAGGTGGACCTGGGAGAACCGGATTCCTTGAGAGATAGCTCGATGGCTTTCATGATCTGTTCTTCCTCCTCTTGCGACTCAACGACGTTAGGGTCTTTGCTGACCGGAGCCGGTTTTTTGGCGGGCTGAAAAACGATTCGACTCAGTTGATTGATCAGTGGCGGATCTACGATTTCTGGGGCACTAAGATTAGTAATTTTTGAGGGTCTCTGCGGATCGTTGCCTCATTCCTCATTTTGTTTTTCTTTTCTAACCAAGTTTTCGAATAATAATACCAATATATGCAGACTGACTGACAAAAACACACCAAGCAAAAGCGCAGCTGGCGCTTTTAACTATTAGACTGTTGGCTCGCGACACAGGGTTTATCGATGTTCTAAGTCGGTATGCCATTTAAGGGACCCACTCACTTAGTCCAAGTTAACAGGAAGGAGTGCCTTGGAGAGTCGCAACCCAGTCCTTGCCCCGGCCCTGACCTCACCTTTCGGTTGGAAAAAAGTTCAAAATTTTGATTAAGGAGAAGCTCGGCAATGAAGTGCAATGATCTTATCTCACGAAAATTGGGGCGCTTGCCGGTTTGCATACGCCTAGGTCACTCCCCAAGGGCGGCATACGAATCGGAAGTGGCAATTTTTCAGTGTTATAGTCGATGATCTAAGAATGTATGCCCTTTGGCGAAACAATGAATTCGGACCCATTAATCAGTTTCCCGACATTTGCATACGATTCCGGAGAGGGGAGCTCGACTTATTCGAACATCAATTGACTTGATATCTTTCAAATAATCGATAATCAAAGAAATGGTCGAATTTTGACCATGGTTAGTGGACCACACTGAGATGATGGTTTGCATACAATTTGCACATTCCGTACAGGGTGGTTCACTATAAATATCTCCCATTGTAACTTAGTTGGTTCTGAACCGATTTTAAAATTTAAAAAACTAATTTTTCTAATAGACTTTTCATTGTTATTAAAAAATTCACAGGCTGTTCATAACAAATGAACTATGGGGTAGTTGTTGATTTTTTTTTTACTGGAACACTATATTTTATTTCACTATCGAGTTGAGATTATCATGACGAATACAGCTCTACAGCATCTAGCGATATCATTTACATGCAGCACTCTCATAGCGATCATGCGCCAAATTGTCAAATTGTGCCAGAAATATGAATCCCGGGTTTGAAGTATTTTCTTTTATTTTTGCTGAAACAATTTTCATATCTGAACAATGATTTGCTGCGTCAGCCGGGTAGAGTGTAGCACGAGCACGTAATAATTTAGGCATTCAATAATGTTTTTCCCTTTTATCGGAGATCCGATATTTAAATATCTCAAAAACCATTTACTTTTGTATAATGCATATTACAGATTTATTCACTTCTTACCACCTCCCCTGCCATGCCCTTGTGTATTTTTTTTTATTATCGCTTGGAGCGCACGAAAAGGAATCTCTATAATGTTCAAAGAACATCGTGCGTTCCTAGGGAGGATATAGGGACAGGAGGTACGTATTGAAATTTTTTTTTGAACTTTTGAAGATTATATTATGTTGTTGGAAATACTTCCACAGGCAATGAATTCCAGAGCCTACCGTTCTATGAATGAATCGGTAGCGTGTGAATCTGGGATGCGTGTTACAGGATGATCGTTGTAATCCTGCCTTCCTGATGATGTTTCTAGAGCTCCTCTAAGGGAAATATCATTACAGTGAGTTTCGATCATGAGCAATTATCCACCCCTCTTCTCCCTGTACGACCTCTCTTGATCATCCTGCGAGTATTTTGTCGTCAATTTTTTCATCATCTTTTCAAATTGAAATCACACAAAAAAAATTCTTGGTACTAAACCCCTCACACATGTAATTTTGTTGAGCTGTAAATTTCTGATGAATAAATACAAATATATCTGCAATTTGCATCTTCGAATACCCCCATCACTCACATCTTTGACCCGGTTTCATGTGAAGTGAGATTATGAGACTTCCAGATTATCTAGTTCGCTTTCGGTGCACCTCTGGCCTGCAGTGCGGGGCGCCGCGCCGGACCGAGGCACGCGCGGGTTTGCCCGATTATTACAACGTATGCTCACATTGAATTCGTATACAAATAGCATCCAGTTATACAGAATATCCTAGTTTATTGGTCCAAAGATGTGCATACGAACCTAAATCATCGATTATTTGAAAGATGTCTAGTCAATTGATGTTCGAATAAGTCGAGATCCCCTCTCCGGAATCGTATGCAAATGTCGGGGAAACTGATCAATCGGTCCGAATTCATTGTTTCGCCAAAGGGCATACATTCTTAGATCATCGACTATAACACTGGAAATTGCCACTTCCGTTTCGTATACCGCCCTTGGGGAGTGACCTAGGCGTATGCAAACCGGCAAGCGCCCCAATTTTCGTGAGATAAGATCATTGCACTTCATTGCCGAGCTTCTCCTTAAACAAAATTTCGAACTTTTTTCCAACCGAAAGGTGAGGTCAGGGCCGGGGCAAGGACTGGGTTGCGACTCTCCGAGGCACTCCTTCCTGTCAACTTGGACTAAGTGAGTGGGTCCCTTAAATGGCATACCGACTTAGAACATCGACAAACCCTGTGCCAACAGTCTATTATGTACTTACCTGTGGTTTGTGATATTTGTGATTTTTTTCAAATTGAGAATTAGGAATGATTATTTTTTTATGAGAATGTTTATTTTATTTGTTTATATTTTGTTGGGAATAGGTTACTTTTCTGTTTACTAAAAGTACATAATGTTTTGACGTCATAGATTTGTTTCATTATCCTTTCTTGGAATTTGTATAGCATAAAATAGATCTGAATTTTTGATAAGGTATTTACTGATGGAATAAAAATCGAACTGGCAACCCTGGTCCGCGCGGAGAGTGACTTGACAACAACTGTCATTTGCTGTTATCAAATTAATTATTCACGAAATCCGTTAGATTTCGCGTGTGAATAGGATGTGATGTGGATATAAGTGTTTGAGGTCGACGAAAAAATGTGATATGCACCTCGACGAAAAACTGTCTATTGTCTCGCCTGATTGATAGCCTCGGCTAAGGCCTCGGCTATCAATTTGCAGACTCGACTATAATGGACAGTGTTTCGTCCTTGGTACATAAATAACTATTATAAGAGATGGTATGTCATTTTTCCGTACCCCTTCATTGAACGAGTGCAAACATATTATTATTTGAAACCCTAACAGTGGCGTAACAACAAAGGCACATCAAGCTAATTTTGTAGTTATATAACATCATTGAATGTGATTCCATGAAATTAATATTGATGAAATTTGAAGCTTTAACGAACACTTGGAATGTCTTCTCGTCATTGGGCATCAAATGTAGACGGTAATCATCATTATTAAAATTTTTGCAATTCGATATTGAATAAGACATATTCGAAAACATTTTCGCGGGGACGCCTATATAATTTTCAGAACTAGCGTTTAAAATCTGATAATGATGACAATTCAAAAATGTCAGCGGTGACAAGCGTGTCCACACTCGTTGAAGGTCATGTAGGGAGATGTTCGAGGCACTCTAGGTTATATACAGGGTGTCCCACTAAGGGCGGCGAGGTACGATCTCATGGAAACCATAAACCTCAGGACTTCGAGGAAAAAAAATTAATTATTATGATAAAACTAAAAATTCATTTTTTCTCGAAAACCACTATATTAAGGTACTGTTTCAATGACGAAAATGCAGAGTTCATTGAAATTCGCGTCAGTTTGTTCCCGGACTTTTTTTCATATCTTGAAAAATAAAGAAAGGGGAAGCTGGTAAAAAATCATTTTTGAAAACGCTTCATCTCCGATATCCTTCCTTCAAATTTGATCAACATGGGCTCACTTGGAAGAGAATTTCACAACCTGAATTTGACATTGATCTCTAGTTCACACAGCGTCTACTAGATGGCGTTGCTCACCAAAGATTCTGTTTTTTTTTCCAAAAAAATCGAATGGAATGCTACATATTTTGATCAACAGATTCAAAATGCATTAAATTAGCTGCATCTTGGCGAAAACCGTGATTCGATATCTTCATCCGTTTTCGAATTATTCTCAAATAACTAAATTTTATTAAAAAAATCATTTTTAATTTTCTGATTTGTGTTATCTCAAGTAAAACTGCATTTGAACGAAATAATTAGCTACTTCATCATATTCACCTGTGCTATTGATTAAAATGCTTATTTTTCGAATTTTCAGCCTTTTATTGCATGTGTTGATCTAATATTCTCGTTCCATGTGCAAAATAATAATAACTGATGCAATTACCATCTCCTCACGAAATGAACAAAAATACGAATCCTAATAGTCAACAACCAAACTGCGAAAACGAAAAGTAACTTTTTTTTATAAAATTCTACAATAATGTCAACTTCACAATGAACGAATAAAAGGAAATCAAATACCGACACATTCTGAAGCCATCTTCATTCAGCGATATCCAGCGAGGAAACACATGTCTATCGGAAAGTGAAAACAAGAAAAGGTCCCTACAAGTGTTCAAAATGCATTCCATTATTCTCAAAGCAAGAATTCAATCTGCGTTGCGTGCTTGACACAGCTGTATCAACTTCAGCTCTCGAAATGCTGGCAATAGCATCTCGAATATGTTGCATCATGTTATCACCAGTGGTAGGACAAGTTTGAAAAACGATATCTTTGAGCTTGTCCCAAAAATAAAAATCCAGCACAGTGAGATCTGGGGATCTAGGCGGCCATTGAAACAAACTTCCTCGTCCGATCCAGCGATTCGGATATCTTTGGTCCAAAAACTCACGAACTATCCGAGAAAAGTGTGCAGGACATCCATCTTGCTGAAACCACATGCCTCTTCGTATCAATAATGGAACCTCTTCTAGTAGAAGCGGCAATTGGTTCCTCAAGAAGTCCAAGTAAATATTCCCATTCAAATGTTCATCGAAAAAGAAAGGCCCAATAATCCGACCCTCTAAAATGCCACACCACACATTAACACTCCATCGATTTTGATGGTCAACTTCACGCATCCAATGGGGATTATCAGTGGACCAGTAATGCATATTGTGCAAATTGACTCCTGCCTTACTGGAAAAAGTTGCTTCATCAGTCCATAATACTCGAGACAAAAAACAACAATTTTAGAACAATAGCGCAGGTGAATATGATGAAGTTGCTAATTATTTCGTTCGAATGCAGTTTTACCTAAGATAACACAAATCAGAGAATTTGTTGAAAATTGAACATGATTTTTTTTTCAATAAAATTTGTAATTTGAGGATAACTCAAAAACGGATAAAGATATCGAATCACTGTTTTCGCCAAGATGCAGCTAATTTAATGCATTTTAAATCTCTTGATCAAAATATGTAGCATTTCATTTGATTTTTTTGAAAAAAATCAAAAAAACAGAAACTTTGGTGAACGACGCCATCTAGTAGACGCTGTGTGAACTAGAGATCAATGTCAAATTCAGTGTTCAAATTGTTGTGAAATTTTCTTCCAAATGAGCCCAAGTTGATCAAATTTGGAGGAAGGATATCGGAGATAAAGAGTTTTCAAAAATGATTTCTTCACCAGCTTCCCCCACCTTTATTTTTCAAGATATGAAAAAAAGTCCGGGAACAAACTGACGCGAATTCCAATGAACTCTGCATTTCCGTCATTGAAACAGTACCTTAATATAGTGGTTTTTGAGCAAAATTGAATTTTCAGTTTTATCATAAAGATTGCGCCCTAGCGGTCGATTTATAAACTTGAAAATATTTTCTACCAATTTTTCCTCGAAGTCCTGAGGTTTATGGTTTCCATGATATCGTACCTCGCCGACCTTAGTGGGACACCCTGTATATATTCGAAATTGGAACGCCTGGGACTATCCAATTGTGCCAAAATATACGGGGTGCTCTGTAAGAAATAATATAATTAATTGGCTGCCGTATCTTCTCACTGTCACCCTGCATAAAATTTATAATGATGCCAATAGAAGGTTCGCATCATACTATATGAACGAACGTTTGAAATTTCCAATATTCCTCACTATAAAGTACTCAGAAAATAGAAAAAAATAGAAACGAAATCAGCAAAGAGAAACTCATATCCCTACCAGCTTAACTGTCAATCTCAAATCTGATAAAGGGAAAGGGGATGTGATGTGGTGGTTGATACCAAGGACGGCGGATTGCTACTAGAAGTGATAGGTTTTTCAATTCTAAATTTTTTCAAATGTCGCATCAATTCAAAATTATTTGAACTCCATTCAGTGAGGACAACATACTGACTAATTCTTCGCATTTTCATATACCGGGTGACACAGGATATCGCGCCACCCTTGTAACTGTGGTACAGTTATATAAGCAACCATTTCGGATTTGATCACAATAGAATAGAATAGAATTTATTGATCTCATAATACCAAATAATGACATAAGACAGGTCAAGAAGAACAAATTAAAATCGAAAAGTCTAGCCGAAACTAAAGCGTTTACCTTAAAATATTAAAATTGGCCAAAAATGTCAATGAGATAATTTTTAGTTTTCTCTTTAAATTTATGCACCAAGGCAATATCTTTGAAACATTGTGGGAGACTGTTGTATAGTTTAATTCCCATTACTCTAGGTGATTTCTTACAGATTTCTATTCGCTGGTAAGGTATCGAGAGATCTGATTTATATCTTCAGTCATGAGCATGAATATCACTATTTCGTAAATAATTGTTTTTATTTCTATCAACTGATGTGATTAAATCTAATATATAAATGCCATAGATAGTTAAAACAGGTCGACAGGAATCCGCAAATGAGATGTTTGAAATACATCTTATAATTTTTTTCTGTGACAATAATACTTTTAGCACGAGGAGAGCTCCCCCTAATACCAATTCCATAACTAATCCTAGACTGTATTTCACTAAAGTAAAGTGAATGATTGTGATTTATATTGAGTGTTTTTCTTAAATTTCTAATTTGAAAACATTTGGAGTTTAACATCTTGGATAGATTTAAAAAATGTGCTTTAAAGGACAAATCTGAATCAAATACACCCAGAAATTTCACTTTTTTCTTCTTGTTATGTTTGAGTTGTTAACCAATATATCAAAGTTAGGGGTACAAGTTTTTTGGCGAGGATGAAATGATATAAAATTCGTTTTAGTTGTATTAAACAACAAGGATTGATCACTAGACCAGGCAGAAAATTTCAACCAAACATTCATAATTTTGGCCATTGAAATGTTTGGGTCTTTTTCACTAAACAAAAATGTTGAATCATCTGCATGAAGAGTGATAAAAGAAGAAGGTACAACAGAAGGTAACTAATTTATGTAAAGGATAAATAACAGGGGCCCAAGTATGGATCCCTGTGGAACTCCTTGTGCATTTTCCATTAGATCAGACATATATGTATTTCCTTTATCGATAATCTTGACGGATTGTAACCTGTTATCTAGGTACGCTTTTCCTCTCATACCCTATTTATAAAGCTTGTCTTTCTATTGTGTTGAACACAGTCAAAAGCCCGACTGAGATCACAAAATATCCCAATCGGGCTTTCGCCCTGGTTGACCAAATTCACAACTTCAATCCAATATGGCGGACTTCCGGTTTTTTCTGGAAATGCCAGCAACTTTGTTTTTTCAAATTGAACACCCTGTATATTTCCAAATATTATAGTTCAACAGTGAAAAACAAGTGCAATCTCAATGTCAAGTATCATTTTTCCGAAAACATTGAAAGTAAATTTGTTTTTGTCATTTCACCTCATGGATAAATGAGATGTGGTCAAGGCGGTTCAAACATATACATTAAGGAAAAAAAATTACATAATTTTTGTATTTCGGTGCAGTAACAAGTTTTATACATTCAAAAATCATCAACTAGTTTCATGAATATCCTTACAATTAGAATAATTTTTCAAGTAAGCTGTGGAAAACAACATTCCTGAATCTTGTCCTAAAGATTGCACCTGTTTTGACCTGTTGAACTTCAATATGTAAAAGTATACTGGGTGTCCCATTAGAAAAAAAGTTGCTGGTATTTTCAGAAAAACCGGAAGTCCGCCATATTGGAATGTTATGTCAAAATATCCAAAATGGATACGTACATCACTGTCCGAAATTTCATAAAATCCGTTTACAAATGCAGAAGTTACAGGGGTGGCCCGATACTCTTTGTAACCCGGTAGATAACCCTGTATAAAATGTGCTTTCAAAATTCACAGTGTATATACATGAACCTGAATAGGAGAAAAGGGTTTAATAGAATATAACTTACCAGTTCTTCCACAGTAAAATCCAAGCCAATATCCTTCAACTTAGATATCATAGATGGTATTAAACTAAGCTGGACATCAGATTTGAATTCATTGTCAGCCCACTTTTTCAAAGATTCCCTAAGCTTTTTTGATACATTTGGGTGTGCCTTGGTCATCAATTTTGTGAAATGGGTTTCAAAATCCCTAGACGCAACTTCTGTGTGAAATTTTTTGCCAGAATTCTTGATACATGCATCCAATAGCTGAAAAATAATGTGTTTAACTGCCATCAAGAAGATTAGTCTATATTGAAAGTATCTTACAACAATTATTTGTGACTGAGAATCTAAAAGTTATGATGAATATGAATGAATGAATGAATTAATTTATTACGTTCCAAAAAACATAAAAATGTCATCTAGGAACACCTCTCTTACTAGTTACAAGTCATTATAGTTTTACAAATTAGATAATATCGGACATAATAATTATATTATTGATTCAAACCTGTATCAATTTAGTGAATATACCCTAGTTTGTACAATAGTAATATATGGGTAACCTTACGGATGGCATAATTCCAAAATATAGCTTTGAAAAAACTTTCAAAATAAGTATAACGGTCAGAGAGGCATGGAAAGAAGGACCTCCTATCAATGCAGACATTGCTGTCTATACGGACGGCTCCGAAACTGAGGAAGGATCAGGAGCTGGTATTTGAAGGGCCAAGCCAAAGACAAGAATCTCACTGAGCTTAGGTAAATACGCGACGGTGTTTCAGGCAGAAGTTATTGCAATACATCATTGCGTGAAAACCATTGCAATCTATAGCCAGGCGGCCATCAAAGCAGTCAAATCTATGCAAATTATCTCAAAACTAGTATGAGACTGCATAGAAACCCTAAATGAACTGGGCAGTCAGAACAGACTGACTCTAGCATGGGTACCAGCACATACAGGGTACGAGGGCAATGAAGAGGCAGACTCACTTGCCCGAGCAGGAGCAAACAAAGCTCTGAATGGCCCAGAACCCTTCTGTGGTATTACGAAAGCTATATAAAAGAATAGTATCAAATCATGGATGCAAACCAAATCTCAAGAATGGTGGAACAACTCGCCAGGTATGAGACAGGCAAATGAGTTTATTAAAAAAACCATCGCCAACATTCACAGAATATCTACTGAGCCAGAAACGAAGTACAACTAGAATACTAGTGGGACTTCTCACAGGGCATTGTAAGCTCAACCATGAGTACGATAGGTCTGACTGAAGAACTGCTGTGCAGGTTCTGTCAGGAAGAAGAGGAAACAGCAGTACACATACTTTGCCACTATGAGGGCTTGTCAAGACTAAGGTTAGTTAGGCTGGGTGAGGAAAACCCAGAAGCCCAAAGATACACAGGGGATCTGAAAGCTAGCCTATGGAGTCTCATAGAGAAGGCGGGGCTAGCCGAAGAACTCTAATCGATTTTGAGGGCAGACACAATAGATCTGAAAAGGTCGCGGTGTGGAGGCAGATAGCCTGAAGGCCCCATTCTAAATCTAATCTAATGGGTAACCTTTTAACTGAACTATAATATATGTTATATACAAGTATCTAATTGTTTTCTTTTTAAATCCAACCTCCTAATGCTAACTGTACAAATCATAACTTCAGTGGAATATGAGACTTCAACAAAGCTTTGAATTTTTTTGAACCTCTTCTTATATGTAATGGCTTTTTGTTGTACTCTGAAACTCCTTCATAAAATACTGAACTAATTCCATAGTTCGTCATTACTCTTGGGAATTGAAAATGTCTACAGTTTCGAGTATTATTTCCGTGAATTTCCTCTCTAGTTTGGAATGTAATTTGTGAATGTCTAGCACTATCTACTATCTGAGATTTGAATACATTGACTTGAAAAGTATATAAACTTGTCAGTGATCTAACATTATAATGTTCATATAGATTCAATAGATTCAAAGTTGAATATCTTGATGGCAGGTTATATAAGTTTCTAATTGATTTGTTCTGCAGGACTTTAATTGGTTTTAAATAACTCTCATATGTATTACTCCAAATTATTGTCAGATATTGCAAATGTGAATGTATTAGAGAAAAATACACAGATCTCAGAATGAAACTTGGGACAGAATAGCTCAATCTTCTCATAATACCCACTGGCCCAACAATTTTCTAATATGTTCTAGATGTGCTTGCCAGGATAGTTTTGTATCAATAATTATCAGTCCCAATAACTTAATTCCATTTTTAATATTGAAGTGATCCACTTTGAAAACTTATGAAAAGTTATTTCATTCTTAACATAATCAGGTACAGTGCTTCTGGTTATCCACATAAAAGATGATTTTTTGATATGCAATGTAAGTTTGTGGCAGAGAAGCCATTTTAGCTGTGATAAATCTCGTTTGATATTCTCGATAACTGTGCTATGAGTTTCACTGAAATATGCAATTGTGGTATCATCAGCATATAGTATAATACTAATTTCCAAGTTTTCTATAGAATTTATGTATATTAAGAAGAGAGTGGGGCCCAGGACCGAGCCTTGTGGTACACCACATTTCAGATACAAGAGCACATTTTAGTTTCTCGTCAACTTTCATCTGTAATTTTGATATAAGGTCTACAACTGCACTACTAGTATTGCTCGATCTGATAAAGCCATATTGGGAGGGTGTCAAAATCTTATTTATATCTAGATATTTCAGGAGTTGGTTATTAACAATTTTTTCAATGATTTTGGATAGACTAGGAAGAACAGAGACAGGGCAATAATAATTGTTTACATCGTCTAGGTCACCAGCTTTAAACAATGTAGACACCATTGCAATTTTCATTTCGTCCAGAACTAACCAGCATTCAAGTGATTGATCAACTAATTTACACATAATCCCTTTCACCTCATCTTTGCACTCTTCAATGGTTTTAGTGTCAATATCATCATATCCAGATGCTTTTGGAATCTGCAGCTCATGATTTCTTCAATGTCCCTTGGTTGTTCATGTGTGAATTTAAATTTTGCTCCACATGTTATTTCACTTGTCATATTGATGCAGTGGTCTGGAATTGATGATGCTAGGTTAACACCCACCTCAGTGAAAAAATTGTTGAAGATCTGGCACATTTTCTGTGAATCAGAAATGCTTGCTCCTGCAGAAGTTTTCAGAGATATTATGGAGTTTACTGATTCCAAGCAGCTGTTTTTTAGAACCTGATTTACTACTTTCCATGTTTCTTTGCAGCTCTTATTTCCCTTTTCAATGCTTTCTTTGCCTCTTGGTAAAGATTTTCTAGGTTATCATTGTCTGCATCATTTTTCAGTTTTTTGAAATAATAATCCTGTTCTTTTATCATTGACAATACTTTCGTTGTGAACCAAGGCTTGGTGTGTGCTCTGAATCTGTTTCTGCATTTTTTGTAAGTGGTGTTCCAATTGAAACACAGAACAATTTTTTCATAGTTGTCATTTATAGTTTCCTTATCTGTATAAGTTTTGTCAAGTTCCAGCAGATCCAGTTTCAATATATCTACATTAATTTCCTTTTTTATGTAAAATGGTTTCAGTGATTCTTTGTTGCATTGATACTAGTTTGAAAAAACTGTATGTCATGATCACTAATGTTGTTGCTTACAATAGATAACTCCATGATGTCATCAACTTTCTGACTAATCAGGCAATGATCAATAAGGCTTTCTGAGTGATTTGTGATTCTAGTGGGTGACAATCCCTTACTGAGACAGATATCTTTATAGTTCTCTATATCTCTGGACTTTTTCAAAATGTTCAGATTAGTGTAGCCCATCAGTAGAGATTACACTACAGAGCCATAATATGTCATAGCCTAGATTATGATACAAGATATCTACAAATGTCTACTGAGGCATTGGCAATCTGAATGAAAACCTAGTAGGCCACCTAGTACTAACTACCTGACAATGACTAAGGTCTGCAACTCATGAAATTTACCTACCCAATATCATGACAGAAAATATGGTCATAAGAATGTGACTTTTTCAAAAATTTTAGTGATATCTGGTATACAATAACATTTTAGGTATAATTTATGTTACCAATAAATCTGTAAATGGCAAGGAGCAGGAAACATTTTTGTTAAATGAGAGTGAAAGGTGAAAGCACAGCCGTCTTCAACTTGAAGACGGCTGTGGTGAAAGACTTCTCTCACTCAAGTTCTCACCTATGGGTTGTAAAAAAATCACTATTATTTTTAGAAGCAAGCATTGAATAATGGAAAGTTGAACAATCTTAGTTCATGTGAATAATGCTTGTTACCTAGAGAAATTGGAATAACTAGTCAAACAAACTTGAATGAATTTTCAAAACTAGGAATGAAAAATCATATTTCTACTTACTTCATAGCAGTATTAAATTTCTTGAAAATGTATAATACTTACAGTCACAGCTTTAATACCAACATGGGGATCAGGATTGTATAAACGTTTGGTTATAGCTTGAAGGTAGTTCTTTGCATCCTCTGGTGATTTTCCAGCACTGTCACAAATGTTCATAATAAGACTCCAATCCTCCTCAACATTTTTCTCAGTTGTGGCCGACTCTAAACAATGGAAAGTGATGAAGTGGATTCAACGGTTGACAGCTGATTAATTTTCATGTATACTTTCAAGTACTTATTCACAATTTGAAAAAAGTCTGCTATGACTCACCTACTTCATCAACTACAGGATCATTGGATGTTCCAAATAAACCCATCATATCTGTTAGTTTAGTTCTATCCAGTATCCAGGTTTAAACTATGAAATGTGTAATATTTACTGCGTACTGGAATATTCAAAACTTTTATAATGATGAGTTCATTGCTATATAGAAAATGTAAAATTAATCCTTTAATTATTGACCAGACTGATAAAAGTGTTGTTGTATGATAAGTATCAACAAATAATTGATGGAACAAAGTAATCGAATCAACTCATATTCATATCAACTTCAAAGAATTTTATATTTAATATTATTAGATCTTTGATGACACATAATCAGAATAATCACAAATAATGAGAATACTGTGAATAGGGAATCACATAAATTTGTTGTTTTCTGCAAAAGTCATGTCAGCACAGAATATCATTCTGTCAGTGATAACGCTGACGGTGCTCTGACGTTAGCGTCAGATGAACACGAGTCATCACCTGTCATATCGTCATGTCTGTTGTTCATTGGTCTGTTACACTGTGTTACACCCATATAGGTATTTACTATTTCTCATTTTACCCAATGCTGCTTCTTCTTTCGTCACCTCTCTTCTACTTCATACTCTATATAATCTCTATATTATATTCTCAGCGTTTATTATTTTGATAACGGGTATTTTCTGATATCGAAAATAATATAATTAACAACGGAAATAAATGTTACATTCCTTCCCCCTCTAATAATAATAATGACAGTTTACTGAAGCCACACTACCTTTTGATCTTTTGATACTCAGCAATTTTAGCAAAATGCTAGCATTACTCAGCTGAGTCGAAATATTCGGAATGAATAGTACGGCAAGGCCGGGACACACATATCCGCGCCGAGTCCGCACCGCATCCGCACCGAGCCCACTCCGCGAGTCGGCCGACAGTCGGTGATAGAGGTGGGAGGCCAAGGAGGTGGGAGGCCACACATTTCCGTGTGTCGGCCGTGGGCCGTGCATGCAGTTGCATTATAGTTTTCAGTTTGCCCTTCTTGAAGATGTTCAAAAAATTCAGTAGCAGTGAGTTAGGGATAGTAGCACTCGCATTAGAGGAAGAAGATACTAATTGAGGACCTCGGTGCAAGAACCGGGCAACTCCATTTTATGTCGAAATTGGGTTATTGATGTATTCAACATATAGATTTTTTTCTTGCGCATCTTTTGGTGCAAGAATCAAGCGAATCCAACAATCTCCTATTTAACACGGGAAAGGATTCACCTGATGAACAATTGAGGTGCAAGAGTCGGGCAACTTCAGGAGTTACCCGATTTGAGCACCGAAATGTACGCGTGTAGTGGGAGATGTCGGAGTGATGTTATTAGCGGCAAACCTTCCCGCGTCTTCCATCATGTGTGGCGTGTTTAGTTTGATCATTTGTTTCATGCAATACAATGTATTGTCGTCGGAAAGTGAAAGTGAGCCCTTTCGAGATTTGGGGAGTGAATATGTTCCAAAATCATAACTGTTGACGACGAGGACCCAAATTCTGGCAATGTTAACGAAGATCAAGACGCAGGAAACGTCAGGGATTCATCTTATGTTCAAAATACTATTTGTTCACGATATTTCTCGTTTTATATTTCATTCTTAATAAAGAAGGAAAATTATTACACGAGTTTGACTATATTTTCAGAATTTTGTCTTTTTGGGGCAAGAAACAGGCAAACTTCTTTTTTAGCTTCTACAATGTTGATAAAAAATAGTATCGACGTAAATACAGCTTTTCTAACGTAACTCTGAAGGATTCATACCATTTAGCATAATGTTTTTCAAGTTTCTCAAAAATATTAAGTTTTTTTCCATGCCCCAACATTTTGCCCTGTTCTTGCACCGAGGTCTTCAATTGAAGACGAGATCGAAATTATCGAAATTATCTTCCACACACGCTCTTTGTAATTGACGTTCCTGTATTTTTCATTTGCTTGGTCGTACAACACTGAAAACTTCCAAATTTCTTCTATTAGCTTTTCCGATTCCATGTTAAAACCTCTGTGAACCCGCACCGCATCCGTGTTAAATAACAGGGAATTTCCGCACTTCTTCAATGAGTTTTTCGCTCTCCATTTTCTAGCCGCACCGTTCAAAAAAGTAAACTGAACTGGTCTGTGACGGTACGGCCTCGGTGCGGTCTCCAAGCACCACGACGGTACTGGCGCGGTGCGGTGGAATGTGTCCCGACACGTTCAAATGCATTGTTTTTCTTTCTCACCGTAGCACGTCCAACACTCGGCCGTGTGTTGGCGCGGGCTCGGTGCGGTTATGTGTGTCCCGACCCTCGGAACATCACCACACTACGCCAACACCACAACATACGCAAAAAACACGGGCTGATGTATGCAAATCTGCATCAATCGATGTGTTTAGAGAACCTGGTAACATATAGTTGGGAATCCCCCTGGATTCTCGGATATACTCGAGACACCAGGGGGGATCTAGACGGACTATCTCTCAAGCAGGAAAATAAAATAGTGACGTAGACGTGAGAAATCACTACCAATCAGTCAATCACTGAACTCGGGATAATATATGTGCTGCACAAGAAATGTGCAGTACAACTGCCCGAGCAAAACAAGAAAGGAGGTTTTTTATGGTTTAACCTCCCCACATTGATCACGATTGAACAGCTCCCCCATCCTCTTGGGTACCTTCAGGGATATCACCTATATAAAGGGCCTACCCCTAAGAGATAGGTATCTGTGACGAACACCTTGCATATCCACTCACATTCCCTGGCCAACACCAGCCACCTCTGCGACAAGCGGAGGGATACACAAGCATACCTGCAGATGTGCCAACATTAGAAGTGTGATTGATATATATGTGTTGTACCTAAATCTGAACAAACAATAAATGACTTTAAAATGGACTTCCACGGTGGTGGCTCGCGTTCAAATCCCGGCAGGGCGTCATTTTTTTTTTCATTATTTTCACAAGTAATTTCTCAAAACATATACCTTTTAAAGAATCATATAGGACGAGTTTGGTTGAGAGAAGTCGCCTTTTTCATGCTTCCTCATACTCATAAACTTTCTGTTTTCACCTAAGTAATTTTTCGAAAAATATGCTTCCTGAGGAAGAAGGTTCATTCAGGCCGAGTTAGGTCAAAAGTAGTCCCTTATCATGCAGAAACGAAATTCTTGTACGGCAATAAAACAAAATTGTTTTTGTTTCACTGTGTTCGATACATCAATGTGGTACTTTTATTGTATATGTCATCAATTTTATTTCCGTATCTGATATCACAATGACTCCATTGTGTTATTATTTGAAAAAAAATCTCATCGCCCATGGAATCTCAAATTTCAATCAATGGCACATCTGTCTAATAGATGAGCATTACTTGAGAGGAAATCAGATGACTACACGACGAAGAAATAAAAAATGTCGCTGTTATCTGTTACAGCCGTAGAAAAATTACACCTACGGCTCATGCTGCAAACTTTATTCTCGTGGAAAATATGTATCTTTCCGTGCTCGTTGAACAATATACTATTTCCATTTCGTGCTCGTTGAACAATATACTATTTCCTTCCTCACAATCCCATATAGCACTCGACGTCCTGAGAACGTCCAGTTTAGGCCAGATTTAGGTCTGAAAGTCCGGGAACTTTTCAAGACGTACTGAAAACGTCCGTTTCTCGACGCACTGGGTACGTACGATTACGATGTACTGGGAACGTCCAACTCTGGACTTTATCGACTTTCAAGGGACGAGATTGAAATCATTGCACATAATTCATTCTACCCTCGATCTCTGATATCTATTCATTTAGGAACCTTGCAAACATGAACATTTCTCACAATTCTATTTTACTGCCCGTACCTGATCACAAATCATCTATTTAGGTATCCTCTGTCATGATCATCTGATTCTATGCAAGTATATCGATGTGAACAAGGATCAATCAACATTCGCACATAATGTTTGTTGTATACTGAAATATAATCAAGTCTTCTGTAGTGTATTCTGAAGGACGTGGGATCGATCGCCGGTAGGAGCACTTTTTTTTAATTCTTTCATTCAAAATAATATTCTTTTCACCCTATCTAGGTGTCTATTTCATTTATCTGAGTAAAAAAAAGGTGGATCTACGTTGATTCAGTTTTTAATGATCCCGTTCAGACCTGAACAGGACCTTTATCGTACGTCCTGGGTACTTCTGGTTGTGTAACATCGTATGTCCCCAAAACGTCCCGAAAACGTACGCCGTACCTAAGATGGACGTTGTGGGGACGTTTCCAATGTCTGAGGTGTACGGCTTGAAGACGTTTCCGGGACGGTTCTGTGCTATCTGGGATACCTTATAACATTCTGATAACCTTAAGATTTTCCGCAGCACGGCAGCATGCTACTAATTGAATGACTGGCGAGAGACGTTTGTCTAGAGTCTAGCCATAGCACAATAGCGAGGTAATTTTGCTCCTACTGGCTCGTTGCTCGCTGGGCGCTGGGCGCGAGATAGAAAAAATTTCCTGGATCCTAGATATTATAGTAATTTACGTAACAAGTCCAGAAAATACTATTTTTTTGTTTTTGGACGTGTTGCGTACACTATTTTTTGGGCAACCATGTAGAATAACAAATCAATGAGACACATTTCCATATTATACTTCTTTGTAGAATACAATTTCTTCTTTATTAATTCTCATCTGTATCAAATACTGAAATTTGAACAGAACCTATATAACTAACTGTTACATTTTGGAAATTTCGTATGGACATTTTCAAACTCACTATCGCAGCTGCTTTCGATAGTTTATTGCGATAATTGCAACCAAACTTTCAAAAATCAAAATGTCAACTAATTTCATGTTGAATATAGCTGTCAGGCGATATTTCGCTGCTATGGTAATTATCCTTATCTGCATTTATCAAAACCAGATCAAAACCATAATATATCTACCAAGATTTTCATAGTTACGCAGTGACAACAATGATGTGATACTTTCCGGCCTGGTCCGGGAAATACGTAATTCCCGGACTAGGCCGGAAAAATGCTACTTTCTCAAAGAAAAAGCGTCCGGGAAGTGAGCACTTCCCGGACGGTTGCTGAAAAACATCATTGAAATAGCGAATGACTATCGGCCTCACCACTTCCCATAGTTTAATGCCTACTTCACAACACAGAAAATATTAGCACCTCATCAATTAGTATATATTCTCCGACCCTGAAAACCCCCAGTCAATTTTGAATAGAATCGGATCATAATTACAAAAGTCGTCCGCCATTTTGGAGCCACAATTCTGTTTTTTGTCTAACAAAATTATCTACACCTACCAAATTTCAAATCAATCGGACCTTCTGAAGTGGGTCAAAATCACGCTCGAAGATTTCGTTTACAAACAAACCCACAAAAAGTAATAACATACATAATACCAAGCTAATATCCTAGACAGCACAGAATATTCTATGAATGTTCTCACGACGTTCACAACATATCTCCTCCAGAATATTCCGAAGAACGTGCATAGAATATATGATGAGGATGTTCTGAATGTTCATAGAATGTAATACGAGAATGTTCATAGAACATTTCATCCAAATATCCTAGGAACGTTCCCAGAATATTCCATTATATTTCATGAATGTTATTCAGATATGATCATAGAATGTTCTGTTCGAATATTCTAGATTATGTTCTCCAGGTATGTTCATATAGCTTTTATTGTTCTAAAAAAAATTTGTTCTAAAATTTGTTCTATCCGTCATTCGGTTGCCCCCTTACGAGCAACCCTCAAAAGTCTATTATTTAGATACTCTGAGAAAGAGAATAATTTTTGTTTATTATGAACATATATTATGTCCTAACTTGCTTCGTTTTTGATATATAGCAGGAAGTCAAATTTTTCAGAAAAAAATCGATTTTTCATTGATTAATTATTCAAAATCCTTTTCGCTGATTTTGAAAAAAATTTTTAACGCTCATCTGGGGTAGCAATGGGGTTTAGTGAATTCAAATTTACCGCTATTCTCTCCATATTTTTCATTCCAGAGGACTTATACTTTCCTCCTATATCGATCCCTGAAATATTTTCCATGCGGTTTAAAACACCTTGTATTCTGAGAATATTCTAAAAAATATTATAAGAACTTTCTTAGACCGGGAATTTTCATCCCATTCGCATAATTATGTTCTTAGGATATTCTCAGAACGTTTAGTGCACCTTGTGAGAACATTCTGAGAATATTCGAAACCTGCTTCCACGGGAATATTCTTAGAAAGTTCTAAGGATCACCTTGTGCTGTCTGGGATGATCGTGTTAATCAATTATTATGACCGAATGGCTACAAATAACTTCCCAAATCGATAAAAACGAGGATTATGACGAATTTCATGAACGATTTATGTGTGGCGGACATGTGCAGTCCGCCACTGTAACTCGTTTTCCGTTTAACATACGGAAAAAAGTATAATCACAAAACATGTTGGGAATTTAGTCTTCTTCATTTTTGGTCATCAAAGTATTGAAGAGGTATTCCAAAATAACCATTTTTTTTTACTTCTACCAAGATGGCGGATCGCGCCGACCACCCTTCAAGGTCGAAAACTTCGATTTTTTCAACGGAGCCCCGAACCTAACAACATAATATACCAAAACCATGACTATACTTCACCTTTTGTAAGACATATACCTTCGTTAGTCCCTAATGACTGGCTTAGTATATCTATCTCATATTTATAATATATATCTGATTATTTTCTTCGTATGATTTTGAAACAATCAGAACGTTCAATTGAGTTAAGCTAATACCTTGTATAATTTCGAATATACATGGATATACATAGAGTAACTCCAGCAATCAGAAATTTAGATTGTTTTTGGATGTATGGCAAATTGATATTCATCATACAGGACGTGGAAAGAAATTCTGAGTTGAGAAAACATAAATCACGAATGTGCTTCTGAAGGTCTATAAAAATAACAAGTTTCCATCGTTCATCAAGTTCGAACGCCTTGATTGGGTGAAAGTATTGAAAAGAAATATTCTCAGATAAAATCATGAACATAAAAAACTGGATATAAATATAAAGAAATACATTGTCTATATTGTATGTATGATGAAAATATCAATTCTTTTTTGGTTTATTCAACAGAAAACAACTACTTTCCTGGCTATATGCCATGAAATGAGTTGATTCGAATGAACCCAGATAACACAGGATATCCTATGGATATCCTTCTCAAGTCCATTTCAGGTCGGGATATCCTGGGACATGAAATGGATATCCATAGGATATCCGTCAGAGGATATCAAATGGATATTCTGATGCGGATCACCTATGGACGTCCATAAGATGTTCGTTTAGCGAACAAAAATTGTTAATTGAGAATGGTTCAAAACAATACGAATCATCACAAATATCACATGCAAATCACATGTTTATTAGAAATTCAAAGGTAGTTTTCCATCATATAACTATTGTTATGTAGGTATAATATGTTTATAGCCACAATTAAGATATCCGATGCAAATATGAATTCATATAAATAACAACACCACAGTTTGGAATTTTTCTCTGTTGTTCAATGTTTTCGTACAAAAATATACAATCACTCGGAAATAGCTCTCATATATTAACTTTTTTGTGGTCTTTATATGGACATCCATGAGATATCCATCCATGGATTTATAGCGGATATCCATCAGAAGATATCTTATGGATAGCCATAAGATATCCAAAGAAAACATAAAATCATATTTATGTCAAAATAACTTTTGTTCTTCAACATTTTCGCACAAAAATATGATTTTTCAGAAATAACTTGTATCTCCATTTTTTTTCCTTGGGATTGAGATGGAGATCCATAAGAATAGATATATTCGCATCCCTGAATTCAAAACTGGGTAGGTATTTTCCCAATGGATAGTAATAAAATATTCTGAAGCAATAAAATATAAATCAATATGGCATTCGCGTGAATGACAAATTTTCCAAAAGAAAGATGGAAAAATCTAAGTGAATCTAATTCTTGAATTCACCTTAACAGCATTTCGGAAAATAGCTTCATTGTTGCGCTAGGGATAACGCGATTCAAATCCGGCCACCTCGCCTCCTCTATTTATCTCTCAAAAGATTGAATTCAATTCGAATTAACCTCCATGGGTAGAATCGTTCTGATTGGTCTAAAAATGCATCCATGTCACTCCTATAACTTTTTCATTATTGTAGGTAGTAAAACGTCAATTGGGGTCATGAATTATAGTTCATTTTATATTATTCGACATATCTACTTGCTTTACCGCACTTTTGATTTAACCGAGGATGGCATTTTCAAACGGGACACCCTGTATTTTATTCCATAATCGGTTAAGGATTATCATAACAAATTTAACGATACTGTGTTTGATAGGATTTCTACAAACGATTAGAAAGATATTCACATTTCCATATCCTCAATGAGCATATGAAAACTTCGAATGCCATATCTTCGTAATCGTTTGAAATAACCCTATCCAATCCGGTACCGTTGAATTCGTTATAATAGTTCCTAATTCATTATGGAATAATATACATGGTGTTCTATATTGTTAAGGATATTTAGTAAATATCCCTGAAAAATATCTCATGAATATTTGTGAACAATATCTTATGGATATCCCTGAAAAATGTCTTATGGATATTTGTGAACAATATCTTATGGATATCCCTGAAAAATGTCTTATGGATGTCCCTGAAGGATATCCTATAGAAGTCCAACTCCTTCCACTCGGCACGTCCATTGGACGTCCATAAGATATACATCGGATATCACTGGATATTCTCTGGATATCCCAAATATCCTAAATGGACGTCCAATGGATGTCCATCGAATGTCCGTGTGTGGACTGGGAAGTCATATGTATGTTCGTGAGAGATATAATTCCCATATCACTGATACGAATGATTTTTCTGAAAGTTCCAAGCTCATCAAGATCAGAGTTTATATAAGAATACTTCTCCTATACATTTCAATTTCCATTTCGATACTGAACATACATATGAGTTATATGTTTATATCATAAGACATCATATTATATCGATTGTGATTGTGATTGAACATAAATGTTCAATCACAATCATAACACACATATTACTAACCTCAAATTAGTTAAGCAAGTTAATAACATTAGAAAACTAGACGCATATGAAAGCTTAGAGATATTCAAGACTAGTAATAGAGTAATGAATAAGGATAATGGACCTATTCCATATATAGCCCTCTATATGTATAGTTTAATAAAATAAAAATTAAGATTAACATGTGAACTCAACTATGACAAACATTAACTTGACGGTTAGTATTTTTCACAGTTGGGTGAACATATACCTAGTATATAAGCAGAACATCACTAGAATAGGATATGTTGTTTTAATCTTCTCCTGAAGATGCTAACATAGTTAGCGAAACACGTGTCGAGGCGTTAAAAAATAGGTTTGGTTGGTGGTAAAACATGTGTAGTGTATTATCGTGCCAAAGGTTCCAGTCTTCGATATATAATACAACATATTTAGAAAGAATTCAGACTATTTAGCACAGATAGACAAAACGCATTTCATTTATAATTACTTTGAAAACACAATCCATGATTGTTGTAGAACGATGTAATGCTTGAAATGAAGACGGACTATTCTCTCTCTTACGGCTGTGGAATATAAAGGCAATTCTGCAATAACGACAGATCGAAAATTGAATGACTACCTGAAAATCTATAAATAAGTCATTCTGTGCTAAATAGTCTAAGATAAAGAATAAGTTTGTTTTGACGGGCCGCGCCGACGCCACGGTTGCATCGCCTATCGCCTTCTAGTATGTACCTATTAGGTATACTTACTTTTCAATAAATAATGTTTTTGTTGTTTTAATTTCCTCTTTCTACTTCTACATTATACCTAAAAAGTAGGTGAAGGTGAATATCCCGTACTAGACTGGAACAAGATTAAGCATGACGAAATTGCGATACCTTTGCGAGACTCTCGTACGAGACGCGAGACAAGACGAGACTCGAGGCTGCGAGACGAGACTCAAGACAAGGCTTCATATTTCATCGGCGAGACGAGACTTTATGTCTCGTCTCGCATAATTTCATCTGAGAATATTTCTTTCCAGAAATTTTGAATTATCTCCATTTTCATAGTAACCAATTTATATTGTAACATACCAAGAAAGCGCGTCGTCAAATTTTAACGTTCTTTCAGAACTACTCAAAAAACAATCGCATCGAATACAATTCGAACTTCAAAATCTTCCAGGTTATACATCTCAAGCTTCCTGTATAAATACAAATCGTGTCATTTTAATAGTTGAACTGACGCTCTTTGTAATTATGCAACAATTTATATCAATGTGTATTACCCGAATATTTTGAAGTATAGGTACCCCCCCTCTAGCTCAGTTATTTTTGAACCGATTGCAAAATTTTTAATATCATCTAAAATGCTTTTCGATAGAGTTTTTTTCCGCTACATCAGAAAATACAAGGTGCTCGGAACAAACGATCTACAGGGTACTATTTGATTTTTTTGAATTGAACACTCTATTTTTCATTGTATTTTTAGATTCTCCCTAAAGAGCTGATTTCATCAATGTATCTATCATACTTGGGGTCTAGCGAAAATGATTACAGATTTTTCAACTTTAGGTTTTTTTTTGTGATAAAACTATTCATTATCGGTCAAAACGGCTTTCATGTCCGTATCTTAACTTTTGATTTACTATCTACTGACATTTGATAATTGGAACAGATACAGGGTGATCAGAATTCTGAATATTGAACCACACTGTATATGTTCCAATTAAATGTCAGTAGATGGTGAATCAAATGTTGCGATAGGAACATAATAGTCGTTTTGACCAATAATGAATAGTTTCGACACAAAAAAATCCTAAAGTTGAAAAATCTCGATTTTGAACACCCTATATCTCTGTAATTATTCCCGCTAGACCCCAAGTGTCATGCATTGATGAAATCAGCTCTTCAGGGAGAATCTAAGAATTCAATGAAATACAGGGTGTTCCATTCGAAAAAATCAAGTAGTACTCTGCAGATCGTTTGTTCCGAGCACCCTGTATTCTCTGATGCAACGGGGAAAAAATTTCTGAAAAAGCATTTTAGATGATTTTTAAAACTTTTAAATCGGTACAAAAATAAGTGAGCTAGAGGGAGGGACATTTATGGTGAATCACCCTGTACGTAGTATAGTATTACTACTGACAATATTCCTTTTCAATATAGAATCATGTTTGTTTTGAAACAATTTCGAGTTGTGGAATGTTCAATTTCTGATTAAGGGGATAAGGGGGATGAATATAATATATCAAGTGTTCATATTAACTTTCATTCATGAAAGATATATAACATGAAGTTATCTCCAAAGCTTTGTGCGTGTTCTTAGGAAATGCCGTTTATAATAGTTTCAAGAATTAAATCGAATTTTCATACATAGAATACTTTTTATAAAGGACTCCGTGTGCTTCTGATAAATGCTTTCTCAGGTACTTCTTGCTGTAAAATTGTTTGCAGTGCGCGCAACAAACAATCTTTCCTTTCTCGTGCCCCTCAACGTGCAAATCATACTTATCCTTCCTATGGAAGTTTTTGAAGCACTTGCAGCAAGTGTAGGTGGTTGTTTGGTTGTTGAAATGGACTCGAATGTGTTTGACGAGGTTTTCCTTCGTTTTGGTCTTGTAGGCACAGTGGTAGCAGAACAAGAACAAGTCTTCGGGTAGAGATGAGGTTTTGCTCTCGAACCTGGTATCTTCGGCAGCATGGAAAAGGGACTCGTGTCTGCTCAGAGCAGATTTCCACAGGGAGAAGAAGTTGCACAGGTCGCAGTGGAAGAACTTGAGCTCATTGTGTTCGGCCAATGTATGTGCGTAGAGGCCCTCGGAGTTTATGTATTTGCTATCGCACAGTTTGCAGTCGTAGAAGCCTTCATCGGTTTTTTTGTTGAAAAAGCTGGAAATAATAGTATATTATGTAACAAGTGTCATAAAAGTCCTTTTAGTAACGAGTATTTTGAGCACGAGCGTACCTAGCAGAGCGGAGCGAGTGATTAATAAGTGAGTGTCTAGTAGACTTTATAAACGCGTTACATATGCTTTTTCTACGAACCCCGAAAATTACATTAACACCTGCTATTCCTGCTAACCTACAAAATTATTCGAAAGGAATGGGAATTGAGAACATAATACATGCAACTGCATGGACCCAGCGAGACACTTATAAGTGATATTGGTTGTAGATGTGTCCAGTCCATTGCTCACTAACCTTTGTTTCACGTTTATTGTCATGCTAAGCGCAGAATAAATAAATTGTTCTCAAAGATAGGGATGCTTCATTTTTAAACTTCTAAGAGATATGCAAGTACCAGAACATTCTCTTAAATTTCACTCTCGTATCTACATTTCCCGTATATTTTTAATGAAGAATTCTGATACAAACGAATATTGTTTGAATAATTCTGATACAAAATTTGAAAATAACAGTTGACAGTTAATACAATTGACAGGTCAGACATGTCTCAAATTACTGAAGCTGTGTTAAATGAACTGTGTTGCCATGGTAATGTGTTTGAGAAATCGTGTTGCCATGGTAACGTGTTTAATATTTTGAATAAATCACGGATCGTCAATCCGTGATTAATCGATTATTTAGCGTGATATATATATCCGTACGCTAAATGCCATTTTAGTTATGTGAGTAGAAAAACATAATTCAATGTGGTCAAAATCAGAATGGGACACTTACAAGTAGCATATCCGCATATTCAGGATTTTTGACGTAGGACAGACATTAGAAGTTTTCCAACTTGCCGTTGGATTATAAACTCTTGATTATTTTCTTCGTATCATTTTAAACCAATCAGAATGTTCAATTGAGTTAAGCTACCTTCTATAATTTCGAATATACGTGGATATACACATAGAGTAGTTTCACTGACCAATCAGGAATGATTTCCATTTCATGTGTAACCAATTCATATTGTTACATACAAACAAAGCGCGTCCTCTAATTGTGATGTTCGTTCAGAACTACTTGCAATGAAACCAAATATCTCAGGGCGCTCATAAGCTCAATCACAGAATAGGAATACACTAAGTGTATTACTAAAATTTTCTTACTATATTAAAATTATACAATGGAAAAAACAGAAGAATCCCGTTTTTTATGGAGGCCAAACTGCAGCAAAAAATTTCAATGGTTTCATTCATCGTATATTATATATAGAACACATGTAAACAGGAGCATGAAATTTAACATTAGTGTGACAAAGTGGAAGGTGACTTGCTCGATATGATTTCCAAACGACAGTTTTTTGTCAAATATTACTCCTAGATCTTGGAAAGTTTCAGGTCGGTTCAATACGGCATGTCTAGTCTATAATTATTGTGAATAATTAGATTCAGCTTGGCGGTGAAGGACATAACATGACATTTGAAGACATTAAGGAATAAGTTATTCTCAATGCACCTGACATTGAGTCTGTCAAGATTTTCTTGTAGAACAGTACAATCCTCTACAGTGATAATTTCATGGATCATCGGCATATAATAGGTGATTGATGGTGAGAGTATCCACAATGTCATTGATGAACATTATGAATAATAAGGGCCCGAGGTTAGACCCCTGGGGCACACCTGACTAGTGGTGCCCGCGAGAGTCTCGTTTTCGAGAGTCTCGCATGGTCTCGTCTCGTTTTCGAGACAAGACTCGAGACGAGACTCGGACAAAACGAGACGAGACTTTTATTGGTCTCGTCTCGAGTTTCGTGCAAGACTTCTCGGGTCTCGTGCGAGAGTCTCGCAGGTAAATATTTCTGCGTGCCGACTGCAGACTTGAGAATTTCATTCATAATACAATATATTTAGGAAGAATTCAGACTATGTAGCACAGATAGACAAAACATTTCATTCATAAATACTTTAAAAACACAATCCATGATCTCTTATAGCGGCGGAAAATAAAGGCAATTGTGCAATAACGACAGATCGCAAATTGAATGACTACCTGAAAATCTATAAATAAATCATTCTGTGCTAAATAGTCTAAGATGAAGAATAACATTGTTTTGACGGGAGTATGGAAGCAGGAGCTTCAAAGATATTATTCTGTGCTTCGGTGTAATGAAAACACAGATATATTGCAATGGTGGAAAATTCATGCTTCTGAATCTCCCATTCTCAATTTGATGGCACGAGATCTCATAAGCATACCGGCTACTTCAGTTTTCTTGTTTAGATGCATGATGTAAGTATGTATACCTATAAGGTACTTACTTTTCAATAAATAATGTTGTTTTTGTTGTAATTTTGTCTTCCTACTTTAACATTATACCTAGAAAGGAGGTAAAGGTAAATATCCCGTACTAGACTGGAACAAGATCATGCATGACGAAATTGCGATACATCTGCGAGACTCTCGTACGAGACTCGAGACAAGACGAGACTGGAGGCCGCGAGACGAGACTCGAGACAAGACTTCATATTTAATCGGCGAGACGAGACGAGACTTTATGAAAGTCTCGTCTCGTTGGTCTCGTGTGAATCACTACACTTGACGTAGGAAGGACTCATTATTTTAACCATATAACGAAGAAAATTAGTTCTGACAAAATAGTAGAAGATTTTGCATCTTAAAAAGCTAGAAAGAAGCCTCCAATGTAAATATTCTGACAGAGATAAAAAAATAAATATTTTGACATAGATACAAAATGTGAGTCAGGCCTGATTTTTGTAATTCATTTTTTGAGTACTAATCTTGTCAGGCCTGAACGAAAATCATCATAAAACTATATAAAAATGTTGAATATTAAGTTTGAGGGGAGTTTGGGCCTTGGATCGGAAGAGGGAGGACGGTGGGGCTAGTTGAATTTGTAAGTGCCCAGTTTGCTGACAAAGGTGAATCCGGGCCTACTTACCTTTGTAACTTATCTGGATACGACCTTTGCCTGACTAATAACTCTCGTAAATTGTACTAGGTATCTCTCACTGCGACCTTATTTATTTTAAAATATCATTAAATGCCCTACCTTGGGTTTTCTTCAGCATCTGGTTCATTTTTCACTATAGTAATCGTAGGTTTCTCTTCAAAGACATCATCCTCCTCCATACTTTGCCCCTCTGAATAGTCACTATAGTACAACCTCGATTGATCATTCATTTCAACTTCCTCGTCACTTATTTCGATAATATTCGCATCGGAATTTGCGTGTTTTGAAAGTTTGGCCATCTTATTGGTACTCAAGCATTTATCCAACTTTTTTTTATCCTCCACATATTTGGAGCTTTTTATGACAGAGATCCTTTGTATCTGTTTAGGCGTAGTAGGTCTGATTCCCATCAAGTCAGGTTTTTGTTTCAATTCTTGTCTTTGCTGAGTTGACACGGTGTCTGCTGCGATAGAGGAAAGATTAACAACATTTGGGTCAGACATAGACTCATTTTCTGGTATGACCATATTTTGTGAGTAATTTGCCTCCCTTTCCCGTACTTCCTCATGTCTCCCGTCGTAAAAAGTTTGAACTGGCAATGCATATTGAGACTGATGATTTCTCTGCATCGGAAAGTAGTGCGCAGTTGGGTGTAGGAAAACGTTGTGGTTTATTAGCATTTTTTGATTATCAATGCATTTTTGTTTGAAGTTTTCGATGTTCTTCAGAAAATAGTAGCACTGCGTGCAAATTATCGAATCTTTGGTAATGTTAGGTTTCTGAAATAAAAAAGGACTATGATTAGATCAAAACCTCTAACATAGAGAATGGGCGAGTGGACTTATAATAATGAACTATTGGCATTCAATCACTCCACTGTATCGTTGTTAACCAAAATCAAATTTTGCAATATTCATCGTGCTTTTTTCATGGAAATAATGAGTCTTGCGTTGTTCGAAATTGTTAAATTTAAGAGCTCATTTCAAACGTACCGTCATGGCCGCCATTTGGCAATTCGTCTAATAAATGGTGACGACAGTTTTTATGCTGTTTCGTTATTGGTCAGATAATATTCTATTTCCACTGATGAAGCAATGCTGTCAAGTCACCAATTCTAATCGAGTTATCAACAATATGTGAGAGTCTTGTCGTCGTTGAATAAAGGGAGGAACTCATGATATTATAGTTCATTCTTGACTTTGTCGAGCAACTACCATGTCCAAATATTTCTTATACTCCATAACAAAATATCATGTGAATCTTGGAGACTTGACAATTAACTATTGTGCTGAATACTGAGAACTGATCAGACCACGCCTACAATTCGTGCGCCGTGTTATCACGTTTACCGGTTCAAAATGTCCTCTTGTGTGAATTAATATACTTATTATTTACACAAATTTATTATAAGCAATAAGCCACAAATCATAAGAGAACATGTTGAGACAATTGATTTTTATTACTAATTATGAATGTTACCAATACATAATTGAGAATTCATTAAAAAAATAAATTAAAAAAATAAACTGATATTTCTGAACTTTCCAATCGTATTTCAACACATGGCAACTGTGCTATGGTCTGTCCCTACTTACGAAAGCGTGACGTCAGTTTTTACTGGCGGTGAATTTCTAGCCGTTTGAAAATTACCGTGGCATTTTATTGATAATTTTAGCAGCTGAATATCGAACGAAAAATTTTTTGAATTGGAACAGAAACATTTACCTATCCCAGCCAACAAATTTGTGACATGACATCACTGTTCATAAGCAATCACATCTGCAACATGACATCTCTGATGAGATATCGCGACGAGGCAAAACTACACTATTACGAATGTTCCATCGCTCCGATGTACAGAAACAAACACGCATCTGCGACATGACATCTCTGAGATGTCGCGATGAGGCAACACTGCGATATTATGTATATTCCTTCGCTGCGATGTATACAGAAGCAAACATGACTTATATGAGATGTCGCGACGAGACAACACTGCGATATTACGAATGTTCCTTCGCTGCGATGTACATAAGCAAATACATCTGCGACATGACATCTTTGATGAGATATCGCGATGAGGCAAAACTGCGCTATTACGAATGTTCCATCGCTGCGATGTACAGAAGCAAACACATCTGCGACATGACTTCAACATTCTTTCTATTCTACGAATATATAGAACATCCTCATCAAAATGATCTATAGGAATAGTCTCAGATATCAGGGTGTTCTAAAGCGCAATGAAAATATTTTAGGGATCGATATAGGAGGAGATAATTATACGAAGTTGTTCAATCTATGCATGAAGGAACACCTGAAAAAAAACTTCAATATTCAATATCAAGTTATAACTCGGAATTTCAAAATTCCGACTTATATCTCGGAATTTTAATATTCAGAATTTTATATGCAATACTCCGAGGTATAACTCAGGTAGGGTAGGAAGAAATTGATTGAAGAAATGGCGGTAAATTTGAATTCAAGTTCAAATTCAAGTTTTATCAAATTCAGCGAAATGAATTTTGAATAATTAATGAAATATCGATTTTTTTCTGAAAAATTTGACTCCCTGTATTTTGAAACAAAGCAAGCGTTTGGACATAATATTATGTTTATAGGAAACATGCCTAGAATCTTTGGACAATACATTCTATGAATATTCCTGAATAAGATTCATAGAATATAATGGAATATTTCAGGTACGTTCCTAGGATATTCGAATGGAATACACAATGAATATTCTCGTTGAACTTTCTATGAACATTCAGAATATCCTCATCATATTCAATGAACGTTTTTTGGAATATTCTGAACAGATTTCTGAAGGAGGTTTGTTATCAAAGTTGTGAGTTGTTTTATTTTTTCAGATCACTCTGTAAATAGCATCATCTTCATGCATCTGCTGTCAAAGTTGAAAAGTTTTTGTTCATTTGGGACCTTCTTGAAATTTTCGAAATTTTTTACTGTTACAGGTAGGTAGGTAGCAAGTTTATATGGAGAACCTCATGTTTTAAAGAAGTACGAGATTATAGCTGAAGGACTCAGCAAGCGAACAGTGTGATACGAATTCAAATTGTTAATAACAGAAATAAGTTATTCTTTTTTTAACAGGGGCAACATTTTGGGGTGCGAAGAAATTAGTGTTGCGTAGTTTAGATAAGTTTACGTCCGATCATGGCCACCTAGATGAAATATTAAAAGTGACTCTTAAGAAAATAAACTTCTGAAAATGTCATATTCTGATCCAGAATTGCCTCAGGAATTCAAAAATGTTATAATATAGAGGGTGTTCCATTTGAAAATTCGAAACCGGAGTCATTTTCGGTGAAACCAGAAGTGACTGGGAAGTGAAGAATATGCGAAAACTTATCTCTTCACATACCAAACACCCATATTGAATTTCATATGGGATAATCATGTCAGATCCATCGCAAAAGCTGCTTCACAAAAACTCGGATTCTTGTTCCGTACGAAAAGCTACTTTACACCTCAACAGCTTCTCATGATCTACAAAGCGCAGATACGGCCTGTTCTAGAATACTGTTCCCACATATGGAGTTCAGCACCAAAACATACGCTGATTCTCTTAGATTCCATCCAGAGAAGAGCCATCCGCCTGGTGGGTGACGCCACACTCACTCTTTGACATCATTGGAACACCGTAGAAAGGTCGGCGACTTTTCACTTTTCTATCGATATTTCCACGGGAAATGTTCTTCGGAAATCTCTGCTATCATCCCTTCACTAGCAATGCCAGTCAGACGAACTAGACAAGCCCAGTCAGCACATCCTTTCGTTGTCAACCTCGAAAGATGTCGAACAGCACTTTATCAAAACTCCTTCATCCATAGAACGGCTAGGCTCTGGAATTCATTGCCTGAGGAAGTATTCCCAACAACATATAATCTCCAGAAGTTCAAAAAAAAATTCAAATGCCTACCTCCTATCCCTATCCTCCCTAGGAACGCACGATGTTCTTTGAACATTATAGGGATTTCCTTTCGTGCACTCCAAGCGATAAAAAAAACACCGAATATCCTTGAAGTTATGGCTTGTTCAATACATTCGTTGACACCCGGTATACAGGGTGTTTCTTAAGTACGTGTAGAAAGTTCAGGAGCATGTTGCTGACGTCAAAATAAGAAGAAATGTTTGTATAAATGACGGAAGTTATTAGTTTCTGAGATACAGAGTGTCAAAGTTGAATTTTTATCTTTTTTGTTAATAAATTTCAAAATATTTGTGATATTCGAATGTAATTTGGTATCTACGGGTATTTTCAATCACAATATCAAATTTTATGTTATTTTGTCTCATTCGTGGTACATGTCTTTTGATATTTTTGAAAAGTCATAACTTTTCTATGCGTACCTGTATCACGTTCAATAGTAGAAAAATAGATTTCTATAACACTTTTGTGTAAAACATATATTCTTGGTAGAGGTCGCTGCGAGCAACTGTTTTTGAATTATTGGGATTTGAAATAATCGTTGCATTTGAATTATTTCCATGGGGCTCGTAAGATTTTGCGCAATTTTCCTCGTGCTTGTCTGTGGATCTTCTTCGATTGCCTGAAGAACAGCTTCTTCAATTTCTAGAGTCTTAGTAGTCAACGGTCTGCCTATCAATAGAGCTTTTTTAAAGGATCCAGACTCCATAAGACGCTGAAAAAGGTTTCTGAATGTCTGGTGATTCGGCAGTCGATCTTTCATTTGATTGTTATTTTTTTCAATTGGAAGAGTCCAAAAAAGTAGGTACAAAGAAGTAAGAATCATTTTTTGCTGATACACCAATGTTGAATGTAGGAGAATATTGAATGGATAAAGAAAAATGCACTGGCGTATCTTTTCTGATATTTAGTACTTAGAGGTGCCCAGATAGCAGAAGTACATCTTATGGATATACTATGGATATCCATCATCGATATTGTGGATGTCCATATCCGAAAAAGACTCTGGTATATCCTATGGACGTCCATAGGATGTGACAGTGTGACCTTTTTGGATGTCTTAAAGATATTCATTATGGACATCCATAAGATATCAACTATGGATATGAATGAGATAGTTTACCCTATATATAGAAAGAATCACAAAAATTGGGAAGCACTCACGTCTCACTGCGTTCGAATAATGTAGTTGTCAGTTCTTATGCACCATCAATTTTGGACGAATTCGTAGGAATCACCTCCGAATTCACTTCAAATTAATTACAAATATGAGAACATATTGACATCATTTGATTACTCCAAGGTTGATAGAATCGATGATCTATAAATCGCGCTGTTCGTGTTGAAAACCGAATTAATTATAATAGCAGATAGTGCATCACAATGTGTGCTATCTTTTGGAAGATCCACGCACAAGTGTTACTTTTGTGGATCTCCTTTTATTTATTTATCATTTCATTCATTGTATATACTTGATTTGAAATTTCTAGGTATTGATCTTTTGTCTCTGTATCTTATGGATATCCTATGGACGTATTCAGGACGTTTGTTTCGGATATCTCAAGTACATCCGCAATCGGATATCTTATGAATGTACATTTTATGTCCACGGATATCCCGCCTTGAATAGGACTTGAAATGGATATCCATAAGATATCCTGTGTTAACTGGGTGACTAACGAGCCCCCATGGAAATGATTCAAACGCATCGATTATTTCAAATCCCAATAACTCGAAAATAGTTGCTCGCATCAGCGACTTCTACCAGGAATATATTTTTTATACAAAAGTGTTCAAAAATACCCCTACATACCAAACTTCATTCGAATATCACAATTATTTCGAAATTCATTAACAAAAAATAACAAGAATAAGAATTCAACTTTGACAGTCTGTATCTCAGAAACGAAGAACTCTCGGACATATATTTATACGAACATTTCTTTTGATTTTGACGTCAGCAACATGCTCCTGAATTTTCTACACGTACTTAAGAAACACCCTGTATAGGTGTCGTATGAGACAAATAAATGACTCGATGAATGAAAAAACTTGCATGGACATCATTTTAAGAAAGATAATATGCTTCCTCACTATACTGCATCATTTTACTTTGCCACATTGCGAAATTCAGGAGTCATTGATTCTTCTGGCGCTTCTGTACTCAGTGGCGTGTCCAGGATTTTTTCTGGGGGTGTCATCACTCATCAGTTCAATATCAATAGAATCATGAAAAAACACGATAACTATATACCGATATAGCACAGGACGCTTCGGATGGATCTTGGGGGGAAGGCTCAAACCCCAAAACTCCCCTTTGCACACCAATGTACGGCACTCGCAGAAAAAGCGCTATTCATGTTTCAGGCAAACTTTAAAAGTTCAATATCTTCTAATGTTTTATCTGTTGGACTGAAATGTATTCTCTCATTTTGCTATCTTTTTCCATATATAGGTATTTTATTACCCAGGCACTTCAATAACTTATTCGGAAATACCCTATCTCTGTATATTCAGGAATACAAACAGTACAAGATTAAAGCAGTATTCACAGGAATAACATATGATATTAATCCCAGGCAGCACAGAATATTCTATGAATATTCTGACAACGTTCAAGTATACTTTTGTCAGAATATTCACAAAGAAATCTTATCGAAATAATCATAGAGTATTCTCATTCTGCACCGAATATTCTATGAACATTTGATTCAACATATTCTCAGAATATTATTTTTGAATGTTCTGGGAATATTATTTCCGAATGCTGATTATCCCACTAATTCAGTATTGTCATCTTGCTATTCATTCTACTTATCAATACGGTTCGTGGCGAAGTGATTAAGGTTTCAGGTTCGAAAAAATCCAATCACAAGAAAGTAGGCATTCGCATCTCCATACCGGAGCGAGCTTTTTAATTTCCTTCCTTCTCATTCAGTATACTAGGAATATTCTCAGAATAAAAACAGTCCATTCCGAATGTTTATTAACCCAGCGAGCACAAACATCCCTGGGATGTTTTGGGATGTTTTGAAAATGTTGGCATATGAAGATGTTATTTTGAGACGTAATATGCACTGACCAAAGAGGTCTTTGAAGGATATATTGAAGTATTGTTTTTGTTCTTCTGTGGCATTTCTTTGTTTGCCTACTGAAAGGTATCCCTGGGATGTTTTGGGATGTTTTAGAAATGTAGGCATGAGGATGTTTTTTGAGGCGTAATAAGCACTTCCCAAAGAGGTCTTAGAAGGATATTGGAAGTATTGTTTTTGTTCTTTTGTGCCCTTTCTTTGTTTGCCCCACCACAACGTCTCATGCTTACGTCACAATACGATGAATTCTGATTTGTTTTAGATTTTGTTCTTCTTGTTCGCAATTGGCATTCGCGTTTGCAGCGTGTCACGCTTACATCACGCTGCCATCGAACAGAAAGGAATTTGGTGAAGTTTATTGTGTTAGAAGACTTATTTAGTTTGTAATAATGACCATCAGATGCAAGATGTGTTGTTCGGTGCCTCAGTGTAATCGATGTATAAAAGTACGAATTTATCAATACACAGCTTCTCCGCAGTTGCAAAATTATGCATTGTGGAGAACATTTCAAAAATTGGGAAACCTATTTCCAATTATATGTCTGTGTGTAGTAAGCACTACTCAGAAACCGATTAAGAAGGTAATTTTTCTACAAACGTCAAACAATGACAAGGTTCGCGCATTGACAACAAATTGCGAAGTGACACTTTTTTCAGTTTCCTACGTTACAATGATACCTTGCACAAGACAATGCGCGAAGTAAAACAGTGCGCGAAGTACCTACTTCGCGCACTGTTATGTAAAATATATGAGATATTTATATTTCAACTTAATGGTCCACAATCGAGCAAACATCCACGAAATCATTTATTACTGAATGTTCAATAAATAACTTCGTTTCATCTCTTGGAGCGCACGAAAGGAAATTCCTATTATGTTCGTGGAACTTCGTGCGTACACTATTTTTTATATCAAGCTGAGCATATATCCACTTTAGAACAATATTTTTTGAGGTTTGTAGAAAAAATGTTGTTTGCAACTCGAGCGCGAAATACTTTCGTCATCTCGACTATTTTTTTAATTCGGCTACGCCTCGTTAAAAAAATCAGATCTCGATCACCAAAGTAGCATTTCGCGCTCTAGATACAAAAATAACTATTCATATCAAGAAAATACTTTTTTCTACAAACGTCAAAAAATGACAAGGTTCGCGCGTTGATAGCAAATTGCGAAGTGACACTTTTATTCAGTTTCCTATGTTACCATGATATCTTGCACCATAGATCTATGCTTGCACCAAACAATGTGCGAAGTAAAACAGTGCGCGAAGTACCTACTTCGCGCATTGTTATGGAAAATATATGAGATATTTATATTTCAACTAAATGGTCCTTAATCGAGAAAACATCCAAAAAATCATTTATTTCTGAATGTTCAACAATAACTTCGTTTTATCTCTTGGAGCGTGCGAAAGGAAATTTCTATTATGTTCGTGGAACATCGTGCCTACCTAGGGAGGATAGGGGAGGCCTTCTCAGCCAGTTCAACACCATTCTTTATATCAAGCTAAGCATATTTTTACTTTAGTACTATATTTTTTGACGTTTGAAGAAAAAATTTTGTTTGCAACTCGAGCGCGAAATACTTTGGTCATCTCGACTATTTTTTTAACTCGGCTACGCCTCGTTAAAAAAATCAGATCTCGATCACCAAAGTATCATTTCGCGCTCTAGATACAAAAATAACTATTATGTTCAATCTATTTTTAATGCATTTTTTCATTCAAGGGAAATGGAATCCTAATGCAAAAGTTCATTTTGACAAAAGGCTTCAGAAAAGTACCTCGAAAATGGTTTTTTACAGCGATTTAATGTGCGCAAGAGCGCAAGACGCGTTGAAAATGTTTTGTTGTGTCCATGAAAAGGCTTTAATAAGAACTAGGGAGAAGGTAGTTTTGTGACAAATCAAGGACATCTCGATAATTGCCGCCTGCGGCGGACATTGGCTGTTCTATAATAGTTCTATTCATGTGTGAACAGAACATGGCAGTGGAGGTTCAATGGCTCGAAATCTCGTACTTTTAACATCTCTGAGATGTTTTTGTGCTCGCTGGGAAACATACCTAGGATATTTGTATCATATTGTGAGAATATTCTGAGAATATTCAAATATTCTCGAAGAATATCCTATGAACGTTCTATGAATGACATTGTGCTATATGGGATGAGTAAGTTGGTATTATACCTACGTCGTTATTAGCCTAGATTACCATCTAAGAAATTTAGGGATGTATCATTAAAATATCATCATAGGTACTCATTATTCATTTTATGCAGGTAAATATATATGGGTAAGTATAACTATCTGGAGAATATCAAATAAACTTACTATTTCAGGTACGAGTAACTCCAAAATATTCTTCACTTTCTCCACAGTTCTGAAAAATGTTATATTTTGGCTTACATAGAGACACGTCCTGCACACAAATTTGTCCATTTTGATGATAAAACACTGGAACGCGAACTGATTCAAGTCTTATTTAATTATGCTGATACTATAGATTAACCTGAACAACATGCTGAGCTTTGCAAAATTACCAACCTACGAAGAAATACAATCTTTTTTTTATGCCGACCTAATTGCGATGTTTATGAAAATATCTTCCTAGGTCAGTAAACACAAAAAATTATAATATCTGAAGGTAGGTAATGAAATATTTTTGTCAGCGCAAAAACCAAACAAAAACTATCTCTTACTTTACTCACGACAACGATTATCTTTTTGTGTATGTTTTTTTGGTTTTTATTGTACCAAATCTTAAGTATATAGGTGCCTAGACGTACTGGTACCTACTTACATATTGAGTGTCTGAAGAATTCCGGTTTGTTTTCCATGTGATTTACTGAGTTCAAAGTGTATAGGGTTTCGGTTGTAAGTAAAAGGTTTGATTTTATGGGCTCTAAAAATGAACTGAGGAACGCCAGTAGCGAACTTGCCCCCCGAGAAGCCAAGAAGTTCCCGCTGGAGCCATTTTTTTGTTGGGACTATTAGTACCTCCATGCTAGGTACCCATAAATTGACTTAATATGTCAAATGTTCATGAGTATCGTGCGGTATTATTGGATTCATAGTCCAATCAAAGAGTATTTTCACTTGGAAAAAATTCAAGTAGTCGGTTTCTCTGTGGTTTCATATGTTTTTGCAGGTGCTGAATTCGAATTTGAATTGTGCAAACAAAATTGCCTGGAGCGTTCCGGCAGAAAATTTTTTGGCCTTTTTTCGTTTTTTTGCCCGTAATTCGGAAATTATATACGTTATATCGAAAAGGCCACCCTAAAAAAAGTGGAAGTAGATATAATTTCCTGAAAATAATTTCCATTGTTCATGAATGTAGGACTAACGAGTGCGGGGATATAGAGCCAGGTGAAAATTGACCAAATTTGCGTACTTTTCAAAAAATACCGTTTTTCGTCGGTTTTCGCAGATAATTCCAAATCTACGCATTCCTCGAAGCAACAAACTATACTGCCTGATGTGATGGAAGAGTCCTAGCCATGTAAATTCTCACCTCTATCAGCAATTAACTCATGATTCTCGACTTGTCACTGTACATAAGTATATTCACATCAACTAGGAAGATATTGTTTTTCTTACCTGCCTCTTGTTATTCGTTAACGGAGTAGAGAGAAATCAAGTTTCCTATAGCAACGGATATCAGAAATGTCAGACACGTGGTCAGACATTTGAAGAAAATATAGTTACAAGAGTTTCCTTCACTGTCGACTATCTTCGAATTTATGGCTAATGCTTGTTATAAACTTGCCTAACTGTGATTTCAAAATACGAAAGGTCCAGTTCAGTTCTTTCCGTTTTTTTTTTGTTGAGTTTCATCATATTCAAGCCTTGAAACCCACATGAGCGAGAATTGATTCTAATACTTATTCATCACAAAATAGGTAATTTTGATATTTGAATAGTGGTTCAGTTTTTTATCAAAATGTTCAAAGAATACCCTATAGCATTTGGAATTATTGTATCGCAATTATAACAACTATTATTCCAGCGTACATAATTTTAACTTTTTTTTGTCCCCCACCCCACAGAATACAAAAACAAAACAATGACCTATTTCTACGTTTTAGAGCTTTAATGAATATAGATTCATATGATCCAAATCATATAAGTTGAAAAGATGAACATGAGTGTGGCAACTACGACTGAAAGACGTCTCCAAGTCCGAGCGCACTAACAGCCGTTCATCTTTTTTCATAATGACGAAATTTACAAGAGCTCGATAGGAAATTTGATGCTCTTTCAATATGTACATGATGCTCTGTCTCTGAGTAACACGTAAAATATGAATTATCTGCGAAAACGACGAAAAACGCTATTTTTTGAAAAGTACCCAAATTTGGTCAATTTTCAACTGGCTCTATCTCCGCACCCTTATTCAGTCCTACATTCATGAGCATCAAGAACAAATATTATCTAGTAAATTTTATCTTCTTCAACTTTTTATTGAAAGGTCTTTTCGATATAATGTATGATTTCCGAGATACGGGAAAAAAACAAAAAAGTCCGGAAATTTCGCTCCAGGAAATTTTGTTTGCAAAATTCATATAAGAATTCAGCACCTCCAATAACATATGAAACCAGAGAGAAACCGACTACTTGAATTTTTTCCCGGATTGGGTCCTAATCGTTACTGTTTTACTGAGCTATTACAATGTCATCCTCGATGGAAATAAGTATAAATATACAGGCTGTTCCTTATTTCTTAAACCGTATAAGTTGGGATCATTTCCGGTCAAACCGGAATAACGGCAAAGCAACTAAATATGTCAAAAAATGTTAATTGAACTATAATACATAACCCCCAAATTTCGTTTTTCCATTTTCAATAATGAAAAATTTATAGGGGTGAGCCACCTTGAAGAATCACCCGGTATATGTATAGCAAGAAAACATGATGTACGATTTTGAAATTCTGAATAATTACCTATTTTGTCACTTACTTACTCACCATTTAGATATGAGGTCATTTGATTGATTTATACCTCTTTTCTTCCCAGCGAGCACAAAAACATCTCAGAGATGTTAAAAGTACCATATTTCGAGACATTGAACCTCCACTGCGATGTTCTGTTCACACATGAATAGAACTATTATAGAACAGCCAATTTCCGCCACAGGCGGCAATTATCGAGATGTCCTTGATATGTCACAAAACTACCTTCTCCCTAGTTCTTTTTAAAGCCTTTTCATGGACACAACAGAACATTTTTCAACGCGTCTTGCGCACATTAAATCGCTGTAAAAAAACATTTTCGAGGTACTTTTCTGAAGCCTTCTGTCAAAATGAACTTTTGCATTAGGATTCCATTTCCCTTGAATGAAAAAATGCATTAAAAATAGATTGAACATAAAAATATTTTCTTGATATGAAATTACCTTCTTAATCGGTTTCTTAGTAGTGCTTACTACACACAGACATATAATTGGAAATAGGTTTCCCAATTTTTGAAATGTTCTCCACAATGCATATAAGTGAGGCACCGAACAACACATCTTGCATCTGATGGTCATTATTACAAACTAAATAAGTCTTCTAACACAATAAACTTCACCAAATTCCTTTCTGTTCGTTAGCAGCGTGATGTAAGCGTGACACGCTGCAACGCGAATGCCAATTGCGAACAATAAGAACAAAATCGAAAACAAATCAGAATTCATCGTATTGTGACGTAAGCATGAGACGTTGTGGTGGGGCAAACAAAGAAAGGGCACAAAATAACAAAAAAACAATCCTTTCAATATCCTTCTAAGACCTCTTTGGGAAGTGCATATTACGCCTCAAAAAAACATCCTCATGCCTACATTTCTAAAACATCCCAAAACATCCCAGGGATACCTCTCAGTAGGCAAACAAAGAAATGCCACAGAAGAACAAAAACAATACTCCAATATCCTTCGAAAACCTCTTTGGTCAGTGCATATTACGTCTCAAAATAACATCTTCATGCCAACATTTTCAAAACATCCCAAGGGATGTTTGTGCTCGCTGGGTTTCATTCATATTAGGCGGCAAATTTTCACTTGTAATGTTCTAAATTTGAAGATTTGTGGACAGTCTGGGTAGGTATGTACATTTCTATAGGAACATGTTCTTCCTATTTTATAAATCCTGATAACATTATTATTTACTAATAATACTTCAAGTCGTCTCCACAGCGTTTAATATATATATCATCAAATTATAAAAAATGGAAGGGGACATGTTTGGGATCCATAAGTAAATTCACTTTTTTCTTCTCCACAACAATTTTCGAAACGACTGATGATGCATGAATACTCTATCGATCCGAAACATTTGATGATAGTAAACGTTGTGAAGACGAATTGGAGTATTATTACAACATTAGGGTAATATTATTATGCTGCAAAATTTCACACATTTGAATATTTGAGGACAACCTAAGAACATTTTGATTTCAAAGAGATTAAACATTCAATTTGTACCTGGAATTATGTTAATTTTGTTCATTTCTGGCCACGAATAAATTTTCATTTTGTTATTGAATGGAATTCAGTGTTTATATTCGACTTCTGGATAAAATAAACCCATGCATCCGCATTGTTAACACACTCAAAGATAATACACACTACTATAGACTACAGAAGATACACTATAACAGTATTCAAGAAAGAATATCTTCCATTTTGGTATCAAGTTCTTCCCAAATACATCCTTGATTAAGATATGGAAATCGATTTCCTCAGAAGGGCTGTAAAACGTCTTCAGATTGACTCTGGTGAATCGTGAGAGGATATGTTTCAGACGTCATTTGCATGTAAAAAATTGTAACAGGTACCTAGACGTCCTAGTGACGTCTTGCGGCTGCCTCTCGATATCGTAATTGCATCATCCAGAACTTTCTCAGAACGGTCCTGAGGCGTCATCAAGACGTCTCTGGAGGATATCATTGAGATATTCTGAGACATAATTTGCATGTAGAAGATGGTAATAGGTATAGACGTTCTGGAGATGTATTGCGGATGCCTCTCGACATCATCATCATCTGTGCATTAATAAGACCTGCTCAAAAGGTTTACAACGTCTTTGTGTTTTCTGGATATACATAGGGTGTATTGCAGTTTGACAATAACCTGATAACCTCATTAGGAGTTGACAGGGTACGTCATTTAGAACCTTGGAACATCTTACTTGGAACTAAGATCTAAGATGCATAAGCATTTCACTTGGAACTTATACCTGGTTTGGGTCATAAATAAAGCCATAGTGTAGAGATAGTTTCGAGATTTGAGGTTTTTCAAAACATACTATGCAGTATAAAAAATGGTACCTACTTTCAAATATGTTGGTAGATTGTAGATAATTTGTTGGAATATGACACAATGGGAGCTTCAATTCACTCTTGTAATTAATGTAACAAATTAATATACAAACGACAAGCTCAGTCAACCCATCCTTTTGTATTGAAAAGGAATATTCTCAGATATATGATGAACATGAAAAGATTAGATACGTACATACATACATAATAAAGAAATACATTGAGAATTCGCATTCTCTATCTGATAGGAATATTAATTCTTTCTCGGTATATTCAGTAGTAATACTATATCG